CAGGTGAAACAGGAGTCCCAGCAGGTCCCCAGAAGGCCACCTCCAGGCTGGTACCCTCCCTGCTGTCCCGGTCATCAGCCTTCACGGCCACGGGGCACATCCACCTTAGAGAATGTGAGTCCTCCCCATCCCCCTGCTGCCTCACTTCCCACCTTTTTCAACCTGTCTCCCCCCCGCTTCCCAACCCCCTTCCCGGGGCTTTCTCCTTCATTTTACTGGAACATTCACATTGGTTCCTCAATGCCAAAAAAGGCCCAAACACTGAGCACCTTGTATCCAACCTCATGCTTGACACCGTGGCCACACTTCACATTTCACCTGGTCCCTCAGTAGCCTCAGTGCCTTTCCACAGGCTGTTCCCTCTGCCTGGAGAGCCCTTTCCCCATCCCCACCTGTAACATGCTGTCTACTTCTAAGGACACAGTCGGCATGAATACCCTTCCCTGCTGCCCCCTCATGAACGAGGCCACGCCACTGCCTGAGCCAGACCCAGCAGCTCTCACCCTCATCACCGTTGAGAATGAACACACAGCCCCACACATGGACACGCACACAGGCCCCAGGTCCTCCTAAGCCTCGAATCCATCTACCTTCAGTGCCTGGCCCTGCCCAGGTGAGGACACCTGGCCTAGTTCTCTCCGTAGCTTCCACCTGTCCCTCCACCCCATGCTGTCCCTCTTTGCACTGTCCCCACCTTCTCCTGACACAGATCTCTCCATGACTTCCCCGTATGCCATGTCTCCCCACTGCCCCCAATGAAGCCTATCTTGTGCTGGCACCCGAGGCCAGCTGTCACCACTCACCAGGACACTGCAGGGCACCTTCCCAGCCCACTTCCAAGGTGCATCAGGAGCCACTTTTCCAGGTGCCCTTGTTTCCACTTATTACAACATAGTTAATTGTGTGCTTGACTCTCCCCACCAGGTCTGGCAGCTCTGGGGGAAGGTGGGTGCTGGAAGATGCTGAATTTGATAAAACTGAGTATCTCTCAATCCCGTGGTATACTGAGTGTCCACACCCCCCACCTCCATGAGTCTCACACACACACACACACACACACACACTTTGGGCTCCAGACACTGGCTTCCACCATCAGGGAGCCTTGTAGCCTGGTCACAGGTGAGAGACCTGGACCAACGTGGTGATGAAGATAAATGAAGCAATGACCTTGGGAAAGAAAGTGGGAAAGAATGACCATGATCATGGACGGGATACAGAGGATGAGGGACGACTCCCGTGTAAGCTGCTGGCTAGAGGTAGAACCTTCACTGAGACAAATGAAGCAACCCCCAGGGATTTGACCAATGTCTGGGCCTCAGTTAGCCATCTTTTTCTTTCCACGTGATAATTTTGCAGAGGAAATGAGACTCGGTTCTATTAGAAGCCCCTGAGAACCATGGCAAGTGCCTGGATCTCTGGACCTGCCCAGGCAGCCCCACCTGACGCCTGGCAGAGTGAGTCAGGAAGGCCCCAGCTGTGGCAAAAGGTAAACACGTCTGGCCCCGAAGGCAGAGTCCTGGGCTCCTTGGGAGACTGGATGAGTAATTCTGATAATTGAATTTTTGAGTTAAGACTTAAAATATGGCCAAGATTGAAGAGGCAATTTGGCAGGGTCAGGGGCCCCCAGGCAGGTTTCTCTGCCTCCACAATGCTGAGAACTTATTAACAAGATCGCTCTTTCTCCTGTCCACAGCCCCATTTACAAGCCGTTCTCGGGCTGCCGTGCCGAGGAATTCAATTGTGGGTCTCTGGGCCCCTGCTCTGGCCACCCAGGGACATTTTGTAGAAAAGGGTAGAGAGGGAACACTTTGGTTTGAATATAGGGAAGGACTGCAGTTTGGGGAATAGATAGCATTTCGTGGACACAATAATCCAGAGGCCAGGATAATTTAGAAAACAGGTTTTGACAAACTAGGATTCAAATCCTAGCTCCAGCACTTACTAAGGTGACTCTCCACCTGTTTTCTCATTTTTGAAATGAACAGGATAGTGTAAATTAATGAGATGCTACACAGTATGGTGACTAAGCAGGTGGGCGCCAGCCTGGAGGGGCAAGGATTTTACCCTTTGGGCTCAGGCCAGGGAAGTGAGCAGGGGTCCCAAGGTGGGCGAGCAGGAGGCCCTGGGCCTCTCTCCCCCTCCTCTCTTAGCCCTGGCCACTGTCCCTCTCAGGTGTGGCTCCAGTAGGTAGACATAGGTGGTGATTATTTTCACCAACGGGAAACTGACGCATTTTCTTATTACAGCTTTTAGAGCCTCCTGAATTCAGCTGCTGGTAAAATTAACTCATCAGGGACAGTGGAGCCTTTTCCGAAGTCCAAATTGTCCTTATTTTCGATGTTTGTTCTTGGTCCAAATCCAGCCAAACCGGGCTGCTGCTCCACCTCCCAGAGGAGGGAGGGCCTTCACTAGCCCAAGGTTGGGAATATTTTACAGGACTCTAAACTGGGGGATAAAAATATACTTTGCCTTGGGTTAACTGTGTCCCTGAAAAGCCATGGGTGGCTGTGGCCAGTGGCCGACTAAACTCCCAGAGAACCCTCCTGCCCAGGCCCTGCTCACAGGCAACCACATGAGCCTGGGATGTTTACCAGCCCTCACAACCCTTCCAGTTCATGCCCTTGCCAGTGACCAAGATCAGCTCCCAGGGGCTGTACATGCCAGGCAATATATTCACAACTGCCAGTGGAGGCAGCATTTGTCCCCTGTAGGTACATCTGAACCCTGGTCTGACCTCCAAGCCCCACCTGAGCTCTAACCACTGTCCTGTATGGCCTACCCACTCCCGATCCTGACGCACTTACACACTTGCATTTGTGCTCATCAACCACAGGAACTTAAAATAGTGTTTTGGAAACTTCCTTGAGACCAGCAACTGAGACACACTGAATTTTGGAAAGGGTTTTGTTCGGCTACTTCCCAATTTTGAGGCTCATGCACTGTGACTGGGCAGAGGGTGACTGCCATTCTATAGGTGTAGAGACTGGTGACAGAAGCATGTGACTTGGGACTAGAAGCCAGGCCTCCTGCTCCCTCCACAGAACCACGCAGAGCGATCCTAGTCACAGATCAGAACTTCCACTAAGGAATCCAGTTGTGTGACTTCTTGAGAAAGTCACACCACTTCATGCCGGAATCAGTCTTCGCACGTTGGAATGTATTAAGGTACATCTGTGCAAACACTTCTCATGAGAGAGTTCAGGTGACAGGGACCCAAGCAGAGGGTCCTTCCTGACCGTGTGCCCCACCCCTCACCTGATGGGAAACAGGCAGAAAGGTAGGGGCCAGGGATGAGGCCGGCTCCCCAATCCCCAGCTTGGCTCCTGCTCCATTCCCTGTACCTGCAGCCAATGCATCGCTGTGTCCGGGGAGCTGCAGAGGTAGCAGCGGAGAGCACCATTTGGGGTTCAGAAGGTCAGGAGAGATCAAACCCCAGCTTTACCTCGAAGGAAAGGGCCTTGGACAAGTCGTTCAGTTGCGGTACGAACACAGGCCTGACCCTGTGAGGTTGTGGACTAAGGACGGTACTGAACTGGGTGATGGAGCAGCCACGTTGCTCAGCCACCCCAACGAGGGGCGGGGAGGGCCATCCAAAGCTGGCTAAAGAGAGGGCGCATCCTGGGCCTAGTCTGGGAGGGCACCTTGGTGAGTTGAAGACAGCTCAGGTTTCCTGGAACACGAAGTGTGAGGAGGTGAGGAGAGGAGCCGGGGGTGCTGCAGGGGCAGGCCTGGTCCCTGTATACCGTTAGGGGCTCAGGGGAAACCACGCAAGTGTTGAGAGCAGGAAGGTGTCTGGTCAGACGTGTGGTGCGACTGGGTGTGGGAGGCCCAACTTGAGAAACGCGACGGAAAAGGAACAAGGCTAACAGGGAAGAAGCCCAGTAACGGAAAAAGGCAAAGGGCCAGATATGAGGATCTCCGGGAAGTGAAAGCAGAGGGGGCCAGGGCGAGCCGAAAGCCAGGCAGGCAATGGTCAGAGGGCAGAATGTCAGAATGAACGACTGCAAAGGGAAAGCAAACTGAGGGGTCATGCAAATGGGCGCTGAAGTCCCCAGAATGATGGCAGGAATGGGGAAACAGAGGGAGACTGAGTCAGGATTCAAACTGCTGTACAAATGAGGCCCATGTGCCAGCCAACATGCTCACAGGCACCAGGTGGTGGGCGCAGGACTGGGAGGCAGAAGAGTGGAGTGGAGCAGCATCAGGTCAGGGCGCGGCTGTCAGCGCCTCTCAGGGCCACCTGGCCAGTCTGGAGCCTCATCTGCAAACAGGCTGAGCCCCACGCTGTGTATTTCTCAGGGACATCAAGAAGCTCAGGGCAATGACAGAGGGCAATTTAACAGGAAGGTCAGCGACAGGGGTAGCAAACGCAGCTGGCAGCAATGTGGAAAGTGGGGTGGAAAGACAGTGCACTGCCAAGTCCCCACTGCAGCCTCCCTGGTTGTTCCCCGGTGGGGACAGCACAACCTCAGCAGGCCACTCTAGGGCATCCCTGTACATTGCTGAGCCCATGCCAGGTGCAGATGCCAGTGCTGCAGCCATGCCATGTGGCGTCGTTCCTCTCCGGACACCTGAATGGAATCAGCAGAGAGCTCGGCGACATCTGAGAGCCACTTCCGAGACCCCAGCCTGTCCCATTTGGGTGTTGGGGGCCTGGGCTTTGAGTCCACACAAAGTCGCTGCATCACCAAGTTGAAATCAATCATTTCACATGAACCTTCGAACTGTAGGGCTGGCTGAGCACTAAGCAAATCGGGTGGGCGTGGAGCCCACCACTGCACTCAGGCACACCCAGCCCCGTGTGCTGCCCCAGAGGCACAGGCCCAGGGCCTAGGCGCCGAGGCCTGTTAAACACCCCATTGCAGAGCATGCAAACCTTGTCTGGCAACAACCCTTCAACCAACTTTAGGACAAAAAATATTAAGAAGAAAAACAGATTTCCTCTGACCAGACAGCTCTTTTTTCCTCAGTACACAGGAACCACACTTGTAACAAGGAGATGGTGGGAACTACAAGCTTTATTGTCTGACTGTTCTCAGGAGCCCGGTCTGCTGGGGCTGCACGTTCCTGGGAGGGCACCCCCAGGCCTCAGCTGGAAAAGAGAGGAAAACAGGAGAATTTTAGGACCAATGGAGGGTGTTTGAGGTCAGATCCCTGACAGAGTTAAAGGGGGTACTGTTATTCTGAAACTACTATCAAAGACAGTTTGGTTAGTAAATATCTACAGAACCAAATGACAATGAGATTGTATTGTGTTCATTCATTCAAAAAATATTTATCAAACGCCCACTATGCACCAGGCACTACGCACTGTATTTCTCATCAGTAAAAACAGCACACAAGTTAATAATCAGAACCACTGAAGCCTTGGCAAGATAAAATGAATGTTTTTGTGCGCTGCTGGCAGAAAAATACAACTGTATGTGAAGGACATGTACCCTGGTTTCACCTTCATTTCTCAAAAGAAGCCATTTCCTGCCCTGCACCCATTCCACCTGCCCCAATGGCCTTCAGGAAGAGAAGCTAAAGGGCGTTACCTCCAGGTTTCCCCGGGCCTTCCGGAGGACTTTGTGGGTCACGACCACTGAGGAGAGAACAGAGAATGGGAAGATTAGACAGAGGCCCAGGAAGTCAGTGTGTGAGCCATGTGCAGGGAGGGGCCCCCTGAACCCCGAATGAGGCCAGAGAGAGATGTGAAGGCCACCCCAGGACCAAGTAATCCATCAGAGAGGTGGACCAGAGACACCTCCTCAAGACACTATGCTCAGTCACAACCCCACAGTAATACCTGAGGTGGAGCAGAGGGTGCTACACCATGTTCCAGATAAAACCAAGGCTCCAAAGGCCAGCTGGATGCCAGGCATGCCCAGAGCTCACCTCTACAGGCCCAGGAGGGGGACAAGGCAGAGGAGGGGCCTGCGCCTGACCAGCATCCCGCATACTTTGGTTTTTGGAAGAGGTGTGTCCACCCTAAGCAAACCCATGTGTGAAGGCCAAGCCCAGGGTTGAGGACAGTTCTGTAAAGCCAAATATGTACCCAGCAGCACTTGGAGCAGCTCTGACGACCTGGGAGGAAAAGCTCTGGCATTTTCCTCCTTAACTGCCCTTTAGCTGGCAGAGAAGCTCAACATGGTTCCCTGAGCAAGTCATGCTTTTCCAGGACAGGAGAAGTTGGGTAGGATGCCTCTAGAGGGGCCTGCAGACCTGGTACTAAGCTGTGCATGGGCAGACGGCTGATGTATCAGAACCCCTGGAAGAAAGGGAGTGCCCACTTTCCAGAGCATGGAAATCCTGCTGCCATCAGAAGTCCAAGGACAGAGTGATAAAGGGTGTGTCCCAAATACAGACTTGCCCAGTACTGAGGAGTGACTCGAACCCAGGTTTGTTGCTCAGTGCAGGACTCCTTCCACATCAGCAGAGTGCTGGCAAGAAGATGCCAACCCCAGTGGTGTCTAGCTGGTGACAACTGTGACCTCAGTGAAGACCCCAACCCTGAGAGCAGGTACTCCTTCTCAGGGGCTGAATGTGAAGCAGGTGACTCCAGGTCACATGGCAAGGGAATGGCGGGGTCCTCGGGTCTCACGGAGACACCCTTTCCTTCCTTTCCCCTGCAGACTCTGGGAGGAGATGGAGTCTTGAAGCACCTCTCAGGATGCCTGGGATGCAGGTACATCATTTCTGCAGCTCATTTTTGTGTCTCCCCATTAAGGCAAAGTTCCATCTGGCAAGAACTGTCTCACTCACCACTGTCCCAGCGCCTGGCACAGGGGCATGGAGCAGAAACTCAGTGCTTGCTAGCAACTAAGACTCTTCTGCAGTTCAAACTCTGCCAGCCTCACAGTCTGTTTTCAGAAGGCTTCCCACGGGGCTAAGGAGAACTACTTGACAATAATCTATGCTCTATGCTTCTCAGAAATGCCCCAGAAATGCTGGACTTTGATAAGACAGCACACATGGCAGCGAGGATAGGAAAGCACTATGGTCAGCAGTTCTGCTAACACAGGGTGGTGACAGGCAGGTAGCATGAGGCACTGAAAGAAACTCAGTAGCTGCCTGCTCCTCTAAACATGCAATGTAAAGGAATGTTGAGGGTCCAAAGTGGGGAGACACGGCTGCTCCCAACAATCTCTGAAGCTCCTGGGTCAGGGCTGGGGCTGACTCATGAGGTTGTTTCACCTCTCTGACCCTGAGTCTTGTATCTGTCTCAAAAGTGTTTCTCAAACCCATCCTCTCCTCTCCATGCCCACTGCCCATCCGAGCACGCTTCTCGCCCACCTGACCAATGAATGGGCTCCTCCTGCATGCAGATGTAACAGGTCAATGCTCTGCTCTGAGTGCAAAATACCTGAGCCTGCCACCTAAAGCCTTTCTAAATGCAGTCCTGGTCCCTGGCCCCTCCTGCCTCAACCGGCCACTTGCAGCTCTTAATCCAGCAATATGAAGTCCTGTTGGTTTCTCGCATACAAAACCTCATTTCTTTCCTCTCTGCCTTTGTCTACACTGTTGTTCCCACCTGGCCAATGCCTACTCTTCCTTGCAGACTCAGTACTAGGGACACAGTGACACCTGCCCCACTCCCACCTTCATGCTCCCTAAGACCCTACATGTGTTCCTATCACCACCCATGCCACGCACTGTCTCCCAGTGAGATGAGAGTCCCTGGCACAGAGTGGCCCCCTATGCAAAAGTCTGTTAGGTGAATTCGTTTGTGTGGGCAGGAAGGGTTAAATATGAAAGGAAACCCACAAATAGGAGGCATGGGCTCCAAAGTGGGTGGTCCAGGGCTGGCTGTTTGGTCCCCAGAGGCAGAAGTGGTCAGACATAGTGGCCACCTCCGACCACTCACTTACACTGATCAAAGATGACTTTTTCCTGGTGCTTGCTCATCTGCAAAAGCTTCATGGTGTGTTGCAACTTCTTTTCTTGTTCAAATAATTTTTTATGTAGTTTGGTGATCTCTGCCTTCATTTTTCCAGTCTAAAGAGAAGGGGAATCAGAAAAACAAACAAAGGATATACAACATCACGTTACACAGGCAGAATTACAAAACCATATACAAAGATGCTCCACCTTACTAACAAAGATAGTCGAATAAAAAATAGAAGCCATTTTCTGCTGGTCAAATTGGCAAATACAGGCCAAATCTGATGATGGTGCGGTGTGGGGAAAGCACTCTCAGGTGCTGGTGGCCCAGGTGGAACAAAAGGCCTGGCAAGACTTACCAAATTATAAATGCGCTTAACCCTTTGACCTGGGATTTCCACCCTCTGGCATTCACCCCTAAGGACTAATATAAGCACAAGAAGATGCCTGTGTTCAAGGATGTTCACCTCAGCATTGTTCATAGCAGGAAAAATAAACAACCTGATTTGTTTCAGTAGCAGTCTAGACAATAAATTACGGTACTCACACACAGTGGAATAATTCTGCAGCTATTAAAAATGATGTTGTAGAACTCTACTTATTGACATTGAAAGATGACAGTAATTAGTGATGAAGAGCCCAGAACAGCTATTGCATATTAGGCATTCCCGTCTCATAAAACTGAATACATACATCTATATTCACAGATGGGTATATCAAGATGTCTACAAAAAACTGGTGACATAGAAATGTCATCAAAATGCTAATAGTGATTATCCCCAAGAAATGTGATTTGGAATGTTTTGTTTCATCTTTAAAAATTTATCAGAATTGACTGACCTTTTAAATAAGAACTACAGTGTTGATTTTTTTTAATTTAATGCTTAAATCTTAAAGAGAGATATAAAAGTACTATTAGGAGAGTATAATCCGTTAGGTGAACCTATCTTGATTTTTCAGAGGTGAGGAGAGCACGGATGGGCTGCGAGACCAGAGTCCCTATCCTCTGAGGTGAAATGTGCACACCACACAGGCCCTCCTAACTGGTCTCCACCTGACTCATGCACAGGGTTAGGACCCTCCCTTTCTCCTAAAACACCCAACTGTAAGGTTCCCTGGCACAGACTCCTCTACCTCAAAACACCTCTGCTCCCAAGAGGGGAAACGCTGGGCTGTGAGCTTACAAAAAGTGACTTTAGTCACTCCCAAACTTACTTATGGCAGTTTTACTTGTAATCAGTTACAGCAGGTCCTCGAATAAAGTTGTTTCATTCAACATCATCTCGTTATAACATTGATGAGATGCCGAAGGCACTTAACTCTTGTTTATATCAATTAGTTTGTGGTAAAATGGGTTTCCTAATATATCATTTCACTTAAAAGTCACAGAACCTATTGAGGACATTAAGCGAGAACTTGCTGTATGTGATTTAAGTATTAAGCAAACCTGTGAAATATGTGCATGAAAAGAGAGATCTGATTGTATGAAAACTAACATATGCTTCAGGAAAGACCTGATAAAGGCAAGTCACTAAAAAACACATTTCTGGCAAATTAGGTGTGGGTGAATCAACTATTAAAGTTGTGGGAGGAACACGATCTAGAGGAATTCTATATTCAAATTGCTTTGCACGTGTCTAAGTTTTTTCTTCATCTTAAACAGAAATTGGAAGCAACAGATATACATTATGAATGTAATTTATGAAAGGAAGAAAGTGTAGAACTCCGAAGAGCAGACCCACATTAAAGGAAAGGCTCAGGCCTACATCAAAAGAATGGCAAATGAACGTACATTTAACTGTTTTAAGTTAAACTACAATGTTTAAGGTATGTACCATTTTTTGATTCCCTGCTTTAACCTACTTTTAAGATTAAACAATTGTGTCAGCTCCAAGGACTTCAACTGTTCTTCCAAAACATTCTAATTTAAACATTAGGTTTTCTTTGATTCTCTTCCTCATGCTAAGAGCCCACAGAGATTCAAGGGCCACACATTCTGGGACAGCCACTCTGCCTATATTCAGAGCCTCAGTTCCTTCCACGTCTGGAAAATAGAGATGGTCCCTGACCCATCTATCACAGTGCAGTAAGAGTGAGACTCAAATGAGGTGATGCCTGAAGACAGGGAGAGCAGTTACTTCACCCTGCCTGGCTAGCCTCTCTTCCTCAAGTCAACTCAGGCATCACCTCCTCCAGGAAGCTTTGCCTGAGACCTTTCCCCCAGGAGTCTCGGTTGGTTTCTGCTTCTTTGGGTGCCCACTGTGGGGCTTCCCCTTCATGGCCCATATCATGTTGGACGGTAACTAGTCATTTACTTATTTGCTTCCCTCCTGGACTACCAGCTCCCTGAGGGAAGAACAATTCTTCCTCTGACCACCAGTGCCTGGCACAGAGTAGGTGCTGTGAGACCATCGGTCAACTGGGGGGTTAATTTCACCTGCATTCTCAAAACATTCTGTACATATTTTATCCAAAGACCCTCCCAGTAACCTCCAGCTGTTATGATGGAGTAAAGGAGTCAGTCCTTACTTCCAGAAGAGGGGATAATAATCCTTAACCCTCTGAAGGCGACTGTAAGGGGGAAAGTGAGATGCTGAGTACAGAGCAGAGAGCCTAACACCCAGGAGGAGTCAACAGAGCAACTCTTCCTCAAGGCCAGGGGCCGAGCTGGGAGCTGAACACCACACCCCTCCCCAGGAGGCCTCAGACTTATTCATGAGGAGCATCTGCATGACAGCTGGAGCTGGGAGGGTTTCTGTTGTTGTCCTGTTTGTTTTCTTTTTACAATGAAAATTATCAAACATTGACAAAAGTTGGAAGAATAGGACAATGAACCACCAAGGTACCCATCCAGCTTCAGCAATTATCAAATTGTGGCCAAAATTGCTTCATCAATATCCCTGCGCATCCTCACCCTAAAATTATTTTTAAAATCAATCCTAGAAGCCAATCATATTTCATCCATAAAGTATTTTAGTATATAGCTCTAGAAGAAAAAGATTCTTTTAAAAAACACAATATAATTACCCATCTAAAACAATGACAATAATCGACTCCTATCACCAAATATGTCAGTAGAGACATTTCTCTGATTGTATCACAATTTTATTTTCTGAACAATTGGTTTGATTCTAATTAAATTGAAATACAAATAAGCACCAAGTTTTGCATTTGATTTGATGTGTCTCTTAAATTTCTTTTAATCCAGTGGTTCTCAGAGCAACAGACAGGACTTGTAAAAACGCTGGGCCCCACTCCCAGACTTTCTGATTCAGTGGGTCTGGGATGAGGCCCCGAAATTTGCCTTTCCAACTAGTTTCCAGATGTGCTGATGCTGCTGGTCGAGGGACCATAAGTTGAGAACTACTGCAAATCTACAAGTTCCATCCCCCTTTTCCCTCTTTCTTCCTAGGCTGAAAAGATGTTCTGAGCTCATATTGTACATTTCCTGCCCCAGACCTAGAATCAAGCCATTTCTCCAAGGACCCTTGGTTCCTTTTAGTGGGAAAAGGTATTTAGAAACCACAAGTTGGCACTAGAGGTGCTCACTGGTTCTGGTTTGGACATTTTTAAAGCCTTTTAAGTAGGGATTTTAAGCCTTTTAACTAGTAAGTTTTTTAAATAGTAAACACATCATAAGTTCATACTGATGTTTCCAATTCAAATTAAGGATTACAGGGTTTTACTCCTTCGATTTTTAATTTATTTAATCTTTTCCCTGACAGTAAAAAAACTCACAGTTATTTGTTTTGTCCTATAACAGAAATACAATAGTTTTATAATATCACTACCAATACTATCACTAACAATTTAACCAATGAAAACGGTTTAAAATCTCTTGCAGTTCTTTTTGGCCTCCACGTATTTCCAGGAGGGATAACATACAGCCAAACTACTGTTTCAGTGATAGAAGTGTTTCCTCTGTGCGGTTATGCCTGCAACACTATATACACTAAGGTTTGTCTGTTTCATCTTGCTATGAATTTTTAAAAATTGCTTTTTTCTTATTTTGATTTATAATTATGCAAAGCATTTTTACAGTTTCAAAGTCAAATTTACAAAACACGGTCTATTCAGAGAAAGCGACCTTCACCCTGTCCTTCCATCCCCTTCCTACCCCTACAAGTATCCTGTCTTTTTATTATTTATCCTTCCATTTAGAATTTTTTTTAAATAAATGTGTATGTATTTGTAGCCCTCCCAACTTTCTTAAACTGAGATATATGATCACATTTTCCAAAGTAGTCCTGGGACTGCAGGGAATGGTGTATTAAATGCAAAAGGCAAATTAATGACACTCAAAGCAAACACTAGGTAATAAAAAGCCACTGGGGTTGCTGGTGAAAACTGGGAAATCTGATTTACACACATTTCATGCCAAGAAAAAGGCACTGTATGAAACATAGGCAGGGGCAGAAAAGTGGCTGAAGGCAATTTAACACCATGCGGGGGGTCTGTGTATACCAGCAACCATATTGAAGGATCTCTAAGGTCCTTTTTGTGGCTCTACAATTCTATGATGCTAAAGTGAGCATCATTAATTCCCCAAAAAAGCCTCAGAAAGACGGGGTGAATCATCACAAGCACTACCAGTCCCTGGACTGGTTTGCTGGTGGGGAAGATCAATGTGAGTATAATTTATATTCACACACACACATGCAATAAGAACTGTACTCTGTCTATTTAACAGACATTACTATGCACTGAGGACAAAAACATTGCACTGAGAGTAAATTGTTTAGTTCAGACACGTTGTGCTCTAAAATTCACACGGACAAATACTAGTTTGAGAGTATGAGAGGAAATTACTCATTGATTCATTTAAAAATATGAACAAATTAGCCTTGGCCCCTCATGTTTATAATTACATAAATAAACACACACGTAATTATAATTTGTAATGAGGGTTATGATTAAACAAAAGCTATGATGGAATGAAGAGGGAGCCCTTTCTGACCCTGAAGTAACATTTAAGCTGAGATGTGAAATGTGAGGAGCCAGCAGCTGGGAGGGAGACAGGGTCAGGCAGTCAGAGCATCTGTGTCATCTAAGTCTCAGATTTTGGAAAGAGCTCGGTGGGTTAGAAGAAAAGGAAAAGCCAATGTGGGCCTGGAATGCAATGGGCCCCCTTCCCTCCAAAATTCCACCTTCCACTCCAGGCCCCACCAGCTACAAGTGGGCAAAGCATGATTTTCCTGCTACCGGATCGGTTCCGTACTTCCCACGCTCAGTGCACCCAAACTTCCTCCCCAGGGTCACAAGCGGGAAATCTTAGGACAGGTTCCCTAGACCCCAGCAAGCAGAGAGCCACTTAACTGCTCCTTCTCTGCCATGGCTGACAGATCTGAGAGCTATCAACAGGGGTTATTAGATGAGTACTGACATAGAATGCAAACTTCCCTTCTGCCTGTGGCAAGAATTTATAGGTTAGGTAAATGAAAGGGGAAATATATATCAGGCTCCTAAGCAAAGGGTTCTAATGCCTCCTTAATCTGAGTGGGCACTCACCCTGTCGCAATACGTTTCCCACAGACAAAACCTGGGATCACTTCCTCTATGCCTGACTCCTCAGTGCCGTGAGACATGGGATGAGGGCGGCCACAGGAGCAACTGTGCTCAATTCGGTCACGTTCAAGTTACTATAAAGTTGAGCTTTCAATGGTTTCATAGTAAATGATTTTCACTGATTTAAAAAATGTAGTTCCTAAATAGTTGAAACAGATCTGAACAAGGCCCACTAAATGTGATGCTGAAAGCTAACAAGAGGCATCAGACAGTCCAGAGGAAGGCATCTGAACTGAAAGAGACTTTGAAGAAGAGAATGAGCTGGTCCACAGGGACAAGCTGGGACCTAAAGCCCATAAAACAAAAGTTTATCCTTTGCTCAGAGGTGCTGGATTCAGAGACTTGTGCTTTCAAACCAGTTCTGTAACCTTCAGCATGCGCCTCACTCCCCAAGCCTCAGTTTCCTCATGTGTAGGAGGCAAACAGGATCTCCCTCAACAAAGATGTCCTGGGAATGGGGACAGGGCCGGGTTAGGGCAGCAGAAGTGCCAGGGGTTAAGGAACACACAGGGAGCAGCCAACTCAGGGCTGACATGCCGCTCAACAAATATGACACCTTCCACACCCTCTGACCCAGTCCCTAAACCGAGCGCCAATGCCGAGAGCCAGGTGCTGGCTGGACTTAAAGGAGACCGAGACACATGAGCCTCTGCATTCACGTATCACCACCCACCTGTTCACAGTGGACTGTGTACCGGCCATCCATGGGGAGAGAGACCCTCCAGAGAAGTGTCAGTAACCTCGCAGCCTCTTCTAGGATCAGCTTGGCTCTGCCTACACTGGTGACAAACCTGCTCAGGGGCACCGGGTAGAGACCCTGCACAGGGGGATGAGAAGTTGTTACATGCAGTCTTGAAAAAGATTATGGACAAGCCAGCTTTAATGGGTGGCACAAGCCTCCAGACCGCAGGGCTCACATGCTGAGCAAGAGCCTAGTGCCAGGCAACACCAATTTATTGTTCTTAAAGACCGGTGAATTATAGATTATGAGAGAATTTCGGCAGTGATTTTAGCCCAATCAATAACCATGATTAATAACCACCCGCATTAACTATATTTACTATGCCAAGAAGAGGCTGCATGGTAGGACCACTCTCACTGCCTCTCGGGAAGGCAAACGATGCCAACAGCAAGTAATGTAACATGAACGCTTCTGTCTCAGCCACCCCGCTAAACGGCTCTGCTTGCTGCCAATACACAGCGGGGCCTTGTAAAGTCTCTTTCACCCTCTCTGCTGGCAGAAGTAAACTCAAATTGAGGGATGTCAAGGCATGAGAAAGCAAAGAACATAAATCACACAGGGGAAAACACAAAATAAATTTTAGAAAGAAAAGAAATTGAAAGAGCATTGTCTTCACAATCAAATAAATACAAAATAAAACCACATACCCCTTTTAGCTATCAAACTGGCAAGAAAAAACACAAATAACACAAATAAAAATCCTCAGTGAAGACAAAAATGTAATGCAATTAACAATATTTCTGGAAAGTGATGTATCAAGAGGTTCTCACGAGCCCTGAAGGACCAGGACCTGCAGCTGCCTTGTTCACCACAGCAGCTTGAGACTGAGCACAGAGGTCTGGGTAGGTGACCAGATGGACACACAGAGGACGGAAGGACAGAAAGATGGATGGATGGACAGACAGAGGCAGTCACAGGACAGATCCCAGTGAGTGATGGCAGTAATGTAGGGCACCAAACTCGACAAGAGTCCTCCCACAGAAAAGAACAGAAGTCTCCAACTAGACCAGACTTCTCAGCTCTCGTGGGCTGCATTTCCAGGTTCCTTGTCCCAGGGCCTCACTGAGGACACTTGTGCCCCTTGCCTCCTAGTGCCCCCTCAGTTAACATGTCCATTCCTGCCCCGCCTCCCCTCCCCAAGCATCTGTCTCCTTCCAGCTCTGTCAGTCAGGTTACCTTTGTTCCCAGCTCTCGGCTTGAAGGGCTGGGAGCCTCTTGGATCTGAATGTCCATCTCGGCAAGGAGCTTCTGGCCCTGACCAATCTGCTTACACAGGGCATCGTAGTCCTCAATCAGGCCCAGGATGTGACAGCCATGCTTGCTGGCCCACAGGTGATGGCCAGGGACCAGGCGAGACATGCATGGGGTGCTGGTGGCTGAGCTGCCACTGTCACAGGAGAGGGAGTCCATGTCATTTCTAGAGAGTGGAGGAGCATCTGATGCTACGGAATGAGAGGGAAGATATCAGATCTATTGGGGGCAGCACCCTGTGTTCGATGAGCTGTGTTCAATCATGTTGCAGCCAGCTAGGAGGGCAAAGAGCAGCCCGCAGTCTGTATATTACCCCACACTGGTAATACTGGGAGAAGCTCAATTCAATTCAACCAACACTTATCAGGAGACCCCCGATTCACACAGATGAGTCAAGCCAGTGCCTGCACTCCAGGAGCCCATGGTCCAATCAGAACACAGGCACCATGTAGGAGGTGTAACAGCACAACAATGAAGAGCCAGGGCTCAGAGTTAAAATTAATCAGTTCTCTGTGCAGGGAGGGAGAACTAGGAAGGCTTCCTAGAAGAAGCAACAGTTGAGCTGGGTTGAACAGGTAGCAAGAATCACACTAAGTAAAAGCCTGTTGCTCTTTACTTTTGGATCAACAGAAGTCTGGGCAAATAATTCTAAATGGGGCCGCAAGTGGAGCCTGCATTCATGATGAGTGTGAGGAAGTAGCAGGATTTCCCTGGTCTGGAAAAAGAGGAAAGTGGGAGTGAGTCTGTAGAAATGTGACCCATCTGTATGAGGACATGAGGGTAGAGGGATAAGACCGGAGAGGCCCCACTGAGGCTGGATGCTGGAGAGCCTTGAAAGCCACGCAAAAGTGTCACACTTTAATCAACAGAGACCCAATGATGTCACTGAGGTTGGTAATACCTAGGAACAAATTAACTGGCTTGGAGAAGGAGATCACCAGCTAGAGATGCTGAGAACATGAAACCCCAAATCCTGCCAAATACCCTCTTAAGCTGAGATCAGGGACCTCCGTGTCTTCAATTTAAAAAGTCCTACCGGCAAACCTGACCCTGCTATAGTCAACCCAGATGTCGGCTTTGTACCTGATCTCGGGGACACCGCCAGGGTGGAGTCAAACAGATCATCGGAATTATCAATTGCCACAGGACATCTATCACCATCTACAAAGTAAGAGAAGGAAAATGAGCTGTTAAAAGTTTTTGTTTCACAGAGAGAACAAGGAGAACACAGTAGTGTCTGACACACAAGCATTCGTTCACACCAGCACTGGGCATCTCTCCTGCAGGGCCCTGTGCAGGACGTGGGCTGAAAGTGAGCAGGCCCACCCTGGCCAGGTGGCTCAGTTGGTTGGAGCATCATCCTGTACACCAAAAGGTTTTGGGTTCGATTCCCAGTCAGGACACATATGAGGAGCAACCAATGGAAGTTTCTCTCACATCAATGTTTCTCTCCCCAACCCCCCAAAGTCAAATAAAAAAATCAAACATATCCTCAGATGAGGATTAAAGAGTAAAAATAATTTTTAAAACAGAGTGAGCACGCTCAGTCCCCTCCCTGGAAGGACCCTCTTGTCTAGACAAGTAAACAGGCAGTTTCCCTTTGGGGTGGTCAGGGCTGAGGGAGGGTAGCCCGGGGGCTGTGGGAGCTCAGGGGAAGGGTGCTAACCCTGAGGGGAGAAAGAAATGCAGGCAGAGGAACAAGCAGATGCAAAGGCAGGAAAGAGTGAGCTGTCACGACACACCCAGGGAGAATGCAGCAGTTCAAATGGCTGAGCCCAGGGTGCAGGCCAGAACTGTGAGGACTGTGGGACCGCTCAAGGGAGTGAGGCAAGGCAGTGTCCAGCTGAGATCTGCATTTCGGGCTAGAGGAGTGAGTCTGGAGGCTGCTGCAGTAACTCAAGCAAGAGAGAAGAGTGACCTGAAGAAGGATTTAGGTGATGCATTTGAAACAACATAAGGAAGTGAAATCAATTAGATGCTATACAAGATGATCTGCGACACAAGCAAATGCAAAACAGAACCAGTTTTCAAACCTAACAGGATGCTTTTCAGATCCTGAAAAACATTGAGAGCCAAGATAAGAGGTTTAAATTCTCTTTTAAAGGCAGTAAGAGGGACTAAAAAGGATTTTCAGCAGTGGAGGGATGTGGGCAGGGCTAAATGGATGGAAGGGAGTAAAACCGGAGGCAATGAGGGCAGCTGGAAATCCAAACTCCACTTCCCTGAGAACCAGGAGGCCCCAGACAGAGATTACACCATTTTGCCAAAGGTGACAGCTAATTAGTGGTCAGGTCTCCTGGCTCCCAGGGTACAGCATGTCTGCTGTCAATGGAAAGACATCTCCGTGAGCAAGGGCAGCACTCGGAGCTCACGTGTCCCGCACGGGCACACAGGGCTGCCTTCTCTAACAGTGAGGAGAGGCAGGAGCAGTACCGTGTTTGTCTAGCAGAAGGGGCAGCTCAGGCATGGGTAGGGTTTGGAAAGCCGAAGCAATCACTGCTTCCTGAGCCTTCCTCCCACCCTGCACCAGCTGCTCCTCGAGCCTGCCCTGCAGTGTGCTGTTGGTATCGATGCTCCTTTCCAGCTGTGCCCGCAGAGCCTGGATCTCGGTCAGGAGGTCATGCAGGTCACTGAGCGGGTCCTGCCCCTTCCAGCCTTCTCCTAACACCTCTTCTCTGGACTCTGCAAACATGTGCAAAGGAAGCCTTGACATCTTCTTCCACCAAAGGGACAACCATCAAAGGAGTTTGGCAGTTTTAAACCCACCACCACCATCATCACCCTCCCCTTCCTAAGAACTAGGTACAATTTAAAATAACAACTTGACTTTAAAAACAAAAATATTGGCGGGCCTAATTGCTGCTATTCCACAGGCTAAATAAGAGCTGGAAATTAATTTTCACTTCTGGCCATAAAAGCCTAGCAAATTGCATACCAAACCCCGAAATTATGTCTAGTAGTAATAAAATCTATTTGGGTGGAATTACAGAATGAAAGGGGCTGATTTTAAGAGCCACAGTATATTAAAAAAGCAAACAGCAAGAATAAGAAAAGCACCTTGAAGAGAAAATAAAAGCTGTGAGGTGACCCTTTTCTAGATAAATTTTCAATAGGGAGAAACCATCTGGAAAATTAGTTTAAAAAAAAACCACCACACCTCAAAATTGATTCTAAAACATCTGAGTTTACAGTTGAGTCATTCTGATCTGGCAGCTCTCTCAGGATACAGAGAGGACCAGGGCGAATGACTACCTCTGGAGCAATGTTCAGTGTGGAATGGGTGCTCCATATATAGTTGCTGAATAAATGGGCAAAAAGAAACACATACTAGCAAGAAAATTATAATATAAGTCATATCTTGAGTGCCTACTATGTGCCAGGTACTGTGCTAGGATGCATTTAATAAATGACCTCATTAATTTTCGCAACAACTCTACAGAATAGATATCAGTGAGCATGTTTTATAGAAGAAGAAACAGACCCAAAGGGATGAGATAACCTGCCAAAAGCCAGAGCCAGAAGCAGGGCAGTGAAAATCCAGACCTCAGCTGGCCTGACTCCTGAGCCTATGGCCTTCCATGTTTCCTGTGGCTTCTTCAGAAGAGAAGGCCAGAAAGCTTGCTTCGAAATACACCTACTCCACCCAGGTGAGCATGGGGTGTAATGACAGCATTTCAGGAAAGAGTGCTGAACCCCATTTGGCTAAGCTGACAGCCCAAGATGCAGAGCACAGGCTGAGAGAGGCCTTGGACCAGAGCGCCCAGTACCTCTGGGAATCCTGTGTTCTGCCGCATCCAGTTTCTCATACACCTTCAGCTCCACACGCAGGGACTGCAGCAGCTTGTTGTTCTGTGAGAGCAGCTGCTGCCTCCGTTTCAACTCCTCCTGCACCCTGCGAAGGCCCCAGCACCATGGGGATGAGAGGTTAATTCTAACTTAGAGTGACTTAGTCAAACCCCACAGGCCAGCCAATTCCACCCTGAGCTAGAAAGGTACGGACCAGAGTGAGAAGCATGGTTAAGAATTCCAGTCACGGCCGCCATTTCCTGAGTGCGTTTCTGAGCCCAGCCCTTTACATACATTGTCTCATGTAATCTTCACAGACACCCGGAGGGGAAGGTGCTATTTAACCCTCCACTCAGACATGAGGAAGTGAAGTTTCAAAGCTTATGCCTTACCCAGGGTACACAGCCCAGGAGAGGAACCAAGACTGTGCGATGGCAAAGATAACGCGCCATCCCAGGTGACTGAGGGTGATGTCGGTCACTCTGAAAGAGCAGGACACTCACAAGTGCCGAGAGGAAAGACTGGAAACATGGGGACAAGACAGAGTCGAAGGGGAAACTGCAAAGAGCAGCTGGTACAATCCCCTTAAAGTCTATGTCAGACTCATGCCCCACCTCTACTCAGAATCTTCCCCAACCTTCCTACGTCACTCAGAGTGAAAGTCCTGACCACGCAACAAGGTCCGATGAAATCTGGCATCCAGCCACCTCTCTGCCCTCATCCCCTACCATGGCCTCTCTCCTCCATCTGCACTGGGCTCCCTGCTCTGACCAGCAGCGGCAAAGGACACCCCACCTCAGGACCCATACCCTCTCCTCCAAGAATGATCTTCTGCCAGATGTCCACACAGCTCACGCCCACACTACTCAAATGGCACCTTTGCAGAGGCCTTCACTGACCCGCCCTGGATAAAAACCCACAATCTGCCCGAGGCCCTACCCTCCTTACTGCGATGACCTCTCGTCATATATTTTATTCCCACGTGATGTGTTCGGGTGCTTACTGTCTGCCTGTCTGCCCCTGTGCACTAAGGTAGGGGCTGGCGTGCCCTGTTCTATGGCCATAGCCCAGCCCTGGGATGCCTACACAGCCACCAGGCCAGGGGTGCCTGGACCACTACCTGCTAAGCTCGCTGCGGCTGGCACAGAGCTCCTGGAGCAGCTGCTGGTTGTGCCGCTCCCTCTGGCCCGCCTCCTGCTGCAGCCGTTCGTTCTCTCCCTTCACACAGGCAAACTCTCGCTGGAGCTGCTCAAGGTTCACAGTCTTCCTGGAGAGGGATGCTCGTAATTTTTCATTCTCCTTCTGTTTATCTGCAAACACAAAACGCACCACTGAGAAAAGACACCATTTGTTTTTTCCAACCTTATTACGCAAATACGGCACTTCAGCTGGAGCACTCCAAGAATACAAAAGGGAATGAGATTTAATCTGTCATTTATGATTCTGGCATTCCAATTATCTTATGCATTTTGGGCAGATAAATCTGTCAACATCAAGGCTGCAGATTAAACGTCACTGGGATGAAATGGGCCTGTTTAATTTTCCATTAAATAATGGGCTGTGCAAACCTAGTTACTTTGCCTTCACAGAGCAAACAGTGGATAGAAATTATAGAGGCAAGAAACAGGCCCCAAATTCTGGCACTGGTGTTGGGAAAGTCCGCAAGCCTCCCACAAGGCCAGCAGGGCTATGCAGATGGCAGCCTGGGGCCCATCCACGCTTTGGGCCCTGAGGACAGCTCCTCTCCTGAATAAGATACACCTAGGGCCCAGAGGCAGAGTGAGGTGTTCAAGTGCTCTTCTGCTCACTGGGTCCATAATCATGAGTGAGCATCTTCACTTCTCTGTGCCTGGGTTTCCTCCCATGTACCAGTGTGAGGATTAACAGGGTGACTACATGCGCAGGGCTTCCCAAGCACGCTGGAGGCTGTAAGCGCCCCACAAGGGAGCTGCCAGCGGTGCTGGTAACAGCTAACTGCAGGCATCACATTACCATCTTCACGTGTATCATCTTATTTACTCTGCACAGCAAACCTCCAGGGTAGGTACTAGTATTCTCCCATTTTCCAGACAGGAAAATAAAGAGCAAAGAGGTTAAGACTTTCCCTGAGATCACAGGCAGTAAGTGGCAGAGCCAGCGTTCAAACTCAGGTTTCCTGATTCTACTCTTAACCACGACACGTTGATTTCTGAGCAAGATTTCTCCTCCCCCCTCAGACTCCAGTCACACTTGGCTTCATGTAATTCCTGACTGGTCTATACTCACCCCACCTCTAACCCCTAGGCCTTTGTCTGCTCTCTTTCTTTTATTGAAAAGGCCCTGGCTCTTCTAAACCTCAGGCACCTTGGTTAATCCCTACTTATCCTCCTAGACTCCGCTTCTAAAGACCAGCTTTCTCTGGGTCAGGATGCATCTCCAGGGTGCTGTAGCTCCCAGCCTGCCTTTATCGTGGCTGGTACTCAGACTGGCCTGCTGTGGGCTGCCAGGTTATGTCTCCCATCAGACCATGAGGGAAGGGACCAGTTCCCATTCATTTTTGTTTTAGAATCCACACAGGCCCTGACATAGAACTGGAGCCAGGAATGTTTGCTGAGCGAATGAATGATCTGCAGAAGCCCAAATTTCATCTCACACACCAAAATCAGCATGAGTAACCTCTAGGGAAAGTGAAATAAGCTGGCCTGAGTTCCAACTCCACTACCTTCTAGCTCCATGACCATAGTTCAGTCAATTCTTTAGGCCTCAGTCTCTGACCTGTGAAACAGGACTAATGATATATCACTCCAGAAACATTTTAAGTATTGAGAGGCAATGTAAGTGAAAGCTCTTGGGGGAGCTAAGCTCCAAACAGAAGGGAATTTTATAAGAAATACTGGAAAAACTTTCCTGACAGTAGGAAGTCTCTGATTGAGATGTGGCAGTAATACACTTCCAGGCCTTCTCTCTTCCACTATGAAGTAAGATAAATGAGAGGTGGCTGTAGAACAGATGGGTAACAAGTAAAGAAAGTAACATTTACTGAGCTGAGGGCTTTACAGTGTTTGATTTTCACAATAGCCCTATAAGTATTCCAGTTTTACAGCTAGGAATACTGAGGTTCAGAGAGATTAAGTGACCTGCCCAAAGCCAGAGCCACAGGATGTGAACCAAGGTTGGTCAGACTGCAGCGCCTGCATTCTTCCCATGCCACAGGAGGTGGTGGGACTCCAGACTGAGATCCCTTTAATTCTTACCTCTGGATCCTTTAGCAAGCATTGTATTGAGGGCCTGGTTCTGCTTCCTCAGGAAACGAATTTCTGATGTCAGAGAATTATGCAGCTCTGAACCACAAACAAAATTGTTTGAAGAACCTATAAAAACACACATAAATAGTGATTTATGCAGAGTCTCAAGGTCAGTATAGAATTTTCCAGAAAACAGCTTTAAATAATGAGGAAACACAAGAAAACCACTCCTGTGAACTATATATGGTATTACTAGAGCCCAAAGAGAAATAAGAGTAAGCATGAAAGAACAGACAAGAGGGGGCTCCCCTACATCTTAACTGTCCTAAGAGTGAACAAAGGAGGAGACCTAGGCTAGGGGTGGGATGAGTAGGTGACAGTCGCCTCCACAGACATTTCTCCAGAGGTCCAAACCCACATATCCAGCTGCCCGCTGGACCTCTCTCAGTCCACAGAGCCAAAGCTGAACTTCTCATCTTTCCTCTCTCACCCTTCCAAACCTGCTTTCTCTCGTTTCCTGCTTCTACAGACAGTATCACCACTATCCCTAGCCCCAACCAGACACCTGGGAGCCATCCTAAACACCCTCTCTTCCACTGCCCACTCAGACAACCACAACTGCTGAGTTTTCCTCCAATACCTCAGGCACTGGTCCACTCTTGACTGTCCCTATAGTTCAGGCCTCATCACCTGCATCCCGGCTACTCTGCCAATGAGGTTATCATCCTAAACACAGCCCATTCAAGTTATTCTCTGCTCAGAAACACATGATGGCCCACCACTGTGAAAGACACACAAACAAACCAGACAGCAGGTCTGAACTTCAGATCTCCATTATTTAGCTCGGATCTCCTGGCATACCCCACACCCTCTCCACCGTAGTGCCCTCAAATGCAGGCAAACTGGGCCACTTGTGTGTGCAAACATACCATGTGGTCACACTCACCCTAACTTTGTAGAATGAGGTATTCCCTTTGCCTAGGATGCTGGCCACCTTCTTCCACAGTCAAAATCACACTCGCCTTTCAACTTTTAAATTCACTGCCTCCAAGTGTATGCTAACAAGATCAGGGCCTGAAGCTAGACAGACTAGGTCTGAGGTCACTTACCAACTCCAATCGGTTTCCTCATCTGTCAATACTTCCCCAGGCTGTGGTCTATCCCCTGAAACCCCATCCTTTCCTCTGGCCAGACACCTCCTTTGATACTTCATCCCAACACTCCCTGTCCTCTGAGCCTTCTAAGTCTGCACCACATACAATGTTCATGTCCCCAGCTGTCCTCCACAGAGGGCCTCTGGTGTGCAACATGCTTTCTACATGTGGTGGGCAGATGCTTCCCTCCCACCTCCATTACAGAGTCTACTACACCACAGAGCCGATTGCTACCCTCCTGCCTCCCAGCCTCTGGTGCAGCTAGACCATGGTCAAGTGCTGCTTCTGTCAGTGAGACTTGATGGGAAGCCTGCTGGGGGCCTCTGGGAAAGATTTCCCACCCAGCAGGAAAGAGAAGGACAGGAAGAAGCCCCACCCTCTTCCTTCCCTTGCTGGACACTGTCCTGAGAGGTTGTGATGCTTATAATTACTGCAGTTATCACAGGCACTGACCCCAAGCCCTGCTATCACTGAGCCACTAACTCTGCCTTGGAACCACCCACCTCTGGGTTTGTTTTGTAAGAAGACACAAATCCCATGTCTACACCAGTTTGTACTCATATTCTGTCATCCGAGGCTGAAAGCACCCTGGTACAAACTCCCCGGAAGGAAGGTCTGACAGCAGGTCTTCCAGAGCCCATGCTCATACTCTTTCCACTCTACGGTACTCTTTCTCACGCTAATGATTCCTTACCACACTGCCGTACAGTTCTTTCATTCACACAGGTCTCTCCCTGACATCTTCCTCCACTCTCCCCTATGAGTTCTGGTGTCTTTTCAGAGACACCTGCTCTTGAACCATGGCTCTGGCTTCTTAGTAGCTGCATGACCTAAGGCAAGTCATAGAACTTCCCCAAGTCTCCATTAGCTCAATAAAAATGACGATGCTTTTATCACTGCCATTGCCATTTGTATTAGTATCATGACTGACGATAGGCTGGAGCCAAAATAGGACCAAAGAGCAATCTGGTGAACAGGAAAAACTCTAGAGAAGTCTACTGTGACCACAGCTGAGGCAGTCAGTCTTCAAAGCAATAACTGGGCCAAAGAATAGTTCCTGATGAAGCCCGAGCTAGTGGGGCCCACCTCCGCCCTGGGGGGCCAGGCTTCCCCGCAACCGCAATCAGTATGAGCTCACACAACTGGGGGCAAGCTGGAAGACCTGATACATAAGATGACAGCTTTAAACAATATTCCACCTCAGCATTACAAGGAGTCCTGCCCTTCTCAAGCCTGCTCCCAAGGTGAGCACTTCGCAGCAGGGGGAGGTGCAGCCACGTTTATTTCTTTGTCTCTTCAGAGGCTGCGACAACGTGGTGAGAACAGCATGTCTTCCCACCAGCGTGAATACTTTGAATGCCTTTTTGTAAACCTTCCCGTCAAAGTGAATTACTCTCCAGAGCAATTGCCTGCTCCATTATAGCTGGTGGCCATCTGAGCCCCCAAATAATTCTATAATTGGATTTGCCAGGGAAAATGTAAAACAGAATGAATCTAATTCAGGCATTACCAAGAGTGAATGTGAAGGGCCCAGGCGTGTATTTCTTTCCTGTGTTTGATGTGACTAATAACTCAGATTAATAAATTTCCCTCGGGGTGAGAGGGGGGAGGATACCAGGTGGGGGGTGGGGAGGAAGAGAGAAATGGAACCACTCTGAACCAAGTGGCAGCACACACAGTACTCTGGAAAGATGTCCTTCTGGGCTGATGGCTAAGTTGGGTGGAGAGGAATGAGAACTGGACCAGGGGTCCAAAGATTTAAGTGCTGCCACTGAGTACATCTTTGCAGAACTTAGTTATCTCATCTCCAAAAATGGAAATGACATTAGCATCCCCACCCTTTGCAGAGCTCTGCAAAGTTAAACTAGTAATGTTATACAAAATAAAATAGTAAAATAAAACATAATGATGAAGAAGAAAACCATTTATTGAGTGGAGCACCGAGCAAGGACCCATTCATAACACTGCCTCCTTTAATCTTAGTGACTCTTATAACTAAGATTGGGTGAGGTTGGGGGGGAACTTGCCCAAAGTCACAAAGCTAATCAACAGAAGCTATGGGCTCCACACCAGGTAGCCCAATCCCAAACACTCTCAGGCCTTCCTAGTGTACAAAGCTGCTCCCAGACACAGTCTGCGTGGAACGAGTACACTGTTCTCGGAGCAAGAAGAAACAATGTCGAAAATGTATTGTTCAAAGAAAAAGAGGAGGCAGAATAGTGATATAAAGTATTCTACACTTTTAGGGTAAGTGAGAAAGAGAATGAGAACATATATTTGTATTTACATTTAAAAAACAGTTTAAGAATACAGAAGAAAACTGCCTGGCTGAGCGTGACTCAGCGGTTGAGCATCGACCTAGGATCCAGGAGATCGTGGTTCGATTCCTGGTCAGGCCACATGCCCGCGTTTCGGACTCCATCCCCAGGCCGGGGCATGCAGGAGGCAGCCGATCAAAGACTCTCATCATTGATGTTTCTATCTCTCTCTCTCCCTCTCCCTTCCTCAATCTGAAATCAATATATATATATATTTTTTTTTTTTTTTTTAATACAGAAGAAAACTAGCAGAAGTGGGAGGAAAGAAGGGATAATAGGATTGATGGAACAGAATCGAGGTATTAATTTTTTAATCATGTGAATATCTTACCTATGGAAAAAATATATACTTTTAAATTCTTCATGGAAGACTATTCCATTCAGAGCTAACTGAGGCTATGCAGCATTATTGGTGGACCTTTTGATTGGCACGTGAGATTTACCAGACTGCTAAAATGCTAATATTTTTATAATCCATTATTACCAAAAAGACAAAATACTGCTTTGTTTTGTTTTAAAATACCTACCTATTTCTCTATAGCTTCCAAAGGCAAATGAGGAGCCAACCACAAGTCAGGATGTCAGAAGCTGGCAGACTTTTCCAATGGCCGGGAAATTAACATTTATCAAGCAACTGCTCTGTGTCAGGGGCTGTGGGGCACTCTACTTAACCTAACTCACAGAATTCTTATCACAACAGGATAAAATAGAAATTATTATCCCTATTCTGTAGAAAAATTACCATAACTGAGAGTCAGCAAGGTTAAGTGAGGGCACCCTGGAGGTAAGCAGCCAAGTCAGGATTTGAACTGAAATCTCTCCGGCCACAAGTCCGATATTCTTCCTAATACACAGAATGCTTACCCAGGCAAATGTATCACAAATGAAGCACTCACAGGCTTGCACAGACTTTGGGAAGGTCCTTCTTACCTTGATCAAATTCAGACCCTTGCCATTCCAACTGTCTCCGTAGCTTCTCATTTGTCTTAATAGATTCTTCTAAGCGTTTTCTCAAACTTCGAATTTCTTGTATATGTTCCATTAGTAGGTCTACAGGAAGGAAAGTTTTTATTTACACTTTGAAGCCCCTAACAAAGTGAATAATTTCTAGCTCATGCAGTGATCGTGAAATTCCAATGGCACTGGCTGTATTAAGATAGTCAGCAACTGGCAATTCTTTCCTAGACCTGGGGAGGCTGAGCTGTTGCTCACAGCCCACAGACATAGTTCTATAATGATTCTCTGCAGCCCCCGACGAGGAGGATACTGTATATCACATGGAAAAATTATATCCCATACAATTTTAATGCTAACTCTAATGTAGCCCTTTATTCTTCTAAATATCAAATATTCATTTAAAATCCTCCTTGTGGTGAAAATAACAGATCACTTTAAAGTCTGCTTGAATTGCCTGAGAGTTGATTAAATTACTTCCATTATAAATCCAGATATTTTCAGGACTAATTCTTTGAAAGGCATATGTTACCCATTTATCACTTACTAATTTCAGACTTAAAAACAAAATAAAACAATAATCTCAATGTTAGTGACAATGGTGGGAAGGGTACTCTCAAGAACACATCCTGTTAGTAAGAGTATAAATGTATATGACTTTTTGGGACTATTTTTATCATTAGCCTTAGAAAGAATGGTTCTTTCCAATGTCTTTTAGCAAATAATTCTACTTCTAGGAATTTATTTAAGAGGTCACCAGAGCTACTGACAGCCATTTGCCAGAATGCATGAAAATGTTCTCTTTGGAACTGTATATATAAAACAGCAAGAACTGAAAACAACTCAAATTATTAAATAAGCTGTATTACATCCAATATGATGTAGTATTACACAGCTATTAAAACTGTATTATGAAGACCCTATAATATTATAGAAGAATATAGATACAAATGGATTATCAGTACAATTACAACTCTATTTAAAAATCTGCAGGCAGGAAAGCCACATATACACAAAAGAAGAAAATATGCCTAAATATTATCAGAGGTTGCCTTTGGGTAGTAGATTTTAGGTTTTTCAAAACTTCTGTATTATATCTTAATATTATACTTAATAATATATAAAAATTTAAATTTTCCACATTTTCTAAAATGAGCATGTCATTTTTTTAGCCTCTGCCACACATCTTTAACAAATAAAGAAGCATAGTTCCAACATAGAGGTAGGTTTCTAGGATCAGTGTTTAAAGCATAATCACATTAAGTATCCAGAGGCAAAACTAAAGTCTTTAATTCATCAATTAGGGTAAACTCAGTATGTCTTAATAATGTTTATTTTAAAACATTATACTAATGTTGTGACCCAGTTTTAATTCCTCCAAAACGACTTTCATTTAAAAGTAGTACAATGTTACAGATCTTTTCCTAATTAAATAGTAATTTCACCATGAATCTGGATGTTTAAGAGATGATTTAATCCCTGAACCCTCAGCTATCTTCTATTAATGCCGTAAGTATGGCAAGTCATTTGCTGGACTGTCTGAGGCCCTCGCTGCAGCCCAGCACTGAAGGACTGTCTGCAATAGACTCCCAGCCCGTTGCATCACTGCACCTGCTGTTCCTGCCTCGCTGCCCTGAACACCTTCCAGCCGCTAGTGGGGTCGGAGTGAGCCAGGAACTTATCTGCTCTGACTGTAGCCACCCTTGCTGGTTTCTCCACATCACACGCTGCTGACTTCTCGAGTAATAATGCTCAGCAGCCATCAGTACAAGTCATCTTCTACTTAGTCTGGCCGGGAGCTGGAATCATCACTTGGGCTTAAGGGAACATTCCCAGTCGAATTGGACACCCCTTATTAATTATGCAGCCCTCACCAAGGAGAAGGAAACAGTATACTCGCCTTTATAAAGAGGGAGAAAAATATCTGTCCCTATTGCAGTAACACCTTTCTGACAAATACTAACTCTTTAAAACCATAAATCCTGTTAAGAAGCAACCACCACAAACACTGTGTACATGTTTTGCCTAGTACCAATGTACAGGATCTAGGTTAAGAAATACCCTCTACCCGCCCAGCAGGGCATGGCTCAGCGGCTGAGAGTCTACCTAGGATCCAGGCAATCGGGGTTCAATTCCCGGTCAGGGAACATGCCCCGGTTGTGGGCTCAATCAATGACTCTCTCAACATTGATGTTTCTATCTCTTCTTCTCCCTCTCATTTCCTCTCTCTGAAACCAATAAAGATATATTTTTAAAAAAAGAAAAAAGAAATACCCTCTAATAAGGAGAAAGCTCCATGTTTAGAGATATTCTCTCTAACACTGTTTGAAAATGTGAAATTTCAGAAATGACTTAAATGTTCAGCAATGGGAACATAAGAAAACCTGTAGTTCAGCCATTCAACGGACTAAGTTAAAAGCCACTAAAAATGATGTGGGCCAAGGGTTACATGAAAGAAAAACACAGCAGATTTATAGAATTACAAAATATCCAAATAGGGGTTAGGTGATCTCTGGCATCTATACAATTCAAGGAAGAAGGGTTTTCCTAGTGCCCCTGCCTTAGGAAGAGTTAGAAAGAACCAAAGGAAATTAAACAGGGTTGAAACTGATAAATAGCCTTAGTGCTTCCCAGCCTGCCACTGTTAGAAGAGCAAGGAAATGGCAAGTCATATAATTAGTCATCATTTAAAAAATAAAAATGACTTTTCCCCAGTCACCAACACTTTCAACAACCCTAGCTTTCCCCAGTGATAAATGACACTCTGAATGACCAGCTTTGGCCCACACAGGATCTCCTTCCATCAGAGAAATATTCAAATGTCACCACACTCTGCTTTCTAAGGCAAGAAATATTCAAATGTCACCACACTCTGCTTTCTAAGACAAATTGTTGTTTAAACTAAGAGTCCTTGGCTATGTTTAAACTGCTTCGTAAAGCTTAGCTTACCTTGAGAAAAGTTGTTTGCCATAACTGACATCTTCTTGGTCTCACTGTCTTGCTTCTGGTCTCGTGAGGAGGAGGACTTTTCGGACACTTCACAGTCGGACAATGCTTGAGAGGCTGAACGCTCAGGAGATTCAGGTAGAATATGTTGGTAGGCTGAGCTGTTTTCCCCAACCCTGGACCATTGTGATTGAAAGAGAAATCATGTTCCACACTAAGATCCCAAGTCAGGACCATACTGAAGGACACTCAAGATTACTGGGCCCCTTATTTGTTTTGGAGCCCTTTTGCTTCCTTGGAGCACTTTTTAGCAAGGACATTCAAAAGACAAAAAGGGCTTGAGTTTGGAGCCAATGAAGAAGGGGGGGCCACCATCTGGCTCACAGGGGAGAAATGGACAGAGGGCGTCAGTCCATGGCACCTGTTTACCAAACACCAGCACCACACCAGGCACTTTAGATGTACAATCTCATTTGGTCCTCGCAGAAACCCTTTGAAGTAGGGAGCAGGATTCTCGCTTCGAGCTGGGGAGATGGAGGCTCATCATAAACTTGCCCGCTGTCTCACAGCTCACAGGTGTACAGGGCTCCCATTTGAACTCAGATCTGTCTGCCTTCAAGGCCCCAAGACAGTGAGGGAGGTCAAACCAAACCCATGAAGTGGCCTATGGGTTTAAAAATCTCAAAACCCTCATGGTCCCCAAGCAGGTCCCAGTATCACCATCCTGGCAATCACCTGGTTATTAACCTGTATTTCCCAAGGGCAACTTAAGCCATGAGGAAAAATATCCTGAACTCTGTAAAAAGCCCATGTGAACCTCCATTATAGATAAGCTCCTTAATTTGAGCTCTTTTTTTCTCCCACTTTTTCCTATTACTTCTTGTCTCATTATTCATAAGCTCAGACAAGAGCAAAGGACTTCAAAGCTGCAACGCATTCATTAACAGGTAAACACCAGATGCAACTTTGCTCAGACAGCGTGATGGATGCGTAGGCTCGCTGCTTCCTGGCAAAAGTGCGGAATGGGCCAAGGGCACCCATTTAATTAGCTTAGAAGTGACCCATGTGAGTGCTAAGCCTACAGCTGAAAAAAGTAGAACAGAAGGAAAGAAACAAACCTGTCAGAAATGGAAGGGTGGCACATGGTTGAGGAGGCTCCCTGCCTCCCCCAGCCTATTCTCCAAGAACCACCATAGCCTTTCAGATGGGAAATCTGATCATTCTAGTCCCAGCTTACCCTCCCTCCTTCAAAGACTCCCCTCTTCCTACAGAACAGATTTCAGACTCCTAACACAATATTTGAGGGCCAGCCCAACAAGGCCCTGCATGTCTCTCTAGCCTTCACTCTCGCATTCCATGCACCAGCCACACTGCTCAAAGGGTTGCCACACTGCGACGTCTCCCTCACCTTGAGCATAGACACTCCCCCAAACAACTCCAACCCTCAACTCTCATCCTTTAGATGTCAGCTAAGACTGTCTCTAGTCTGGGAGGCCTTCCTTGCCCTCCCTACAGCCTGCCAATGTGATGTGACCTGTTATTTCAAGGATGAAAGTGGAGAGTTGACTGGGAACACTGCAGTGGGAGAAGAATACTTCTTCTAAAGTTACAGGAGCACTGATAGAAATGTCCTCCAGTGAGCTGTGCTCACCTCCCTGCCTGCTTGCTAATAAAAACTAAAATTCTGCACCCCAGACTGGTCTCTATTTCTTTATTTTACCCCCAGGAGGCCAAAGGGCTGCAGTTCCAAAGAGGAGAGAAATACCCACAGCCCTTATAGCATTCAGAACCTTTAACAAGTAAACAGATGGGGGCAAGGCCTTGACACTTGCAACTGGCCACAGAGGCAAGCTAAGAGAGTATGCGATCCATTTATTCTGTGGACATTTTCTGAATTCCAACTATATGTCAGATACTTGGGGTTGGAGCAGGTATAAAGGTATTAAAAACACAGTCTTTGCCCTCCAAAGGCAATGTGGAATAACAATAACAGCCCAGGTGTTGGAGTACAACAGGCTCAAGTTCAAATCCCAGCTCTGCCTCTTAATAGCAAGTATGCAATTCTGACCCTCAGGCTCCTCATCTGAAAATGAGAATGCTGCTGCTCACCTTGTAGGGTCAGAAATATTGAATGTGAATGCCTATGGCAGGGGCTAACACACACCCATACCCAGTTAATGCTAGCTCCTTCCCTCTTCTGAGGAATTCTGGGAGTAAAAGACAAATACAGAAAGTATTACAATACTGTGTGGTAACTTCTATAATATAATTATGTGTCAAGTACTATAGGAAGACTAGCTGATCCTGGGATGTAGTGGAGAGGTGGGGTGTCTGGAGGAGCCAGGTTCATTTCCATGTGAAGTGACTCTGAAGGAGGATTGTCATACTACAAGGGAAAGAAGGCAGTGTGTACAGCCTTGCTGTCCTAGTCTGAAGAATGAGTCAGAGAAGACTGAAACATAGGGTACATGATGGAAAGGAAAGATGGGTCAGGCTGAGAAGGACCTCAAATGTCAGGCTAGGGAATCTGGGATTTATTCTGCAAATATGCAGGTGCCAGCAGGAGGAATGTGTTGTCTAGGTCATAGCACCTGACAGAGAAATGCCACAAGTAACCTAAAACAACTGAACGAAGGCGGCAGACACACAGCATGACCCCGTAGTTTTATGCGGCCATTCTCAGTTTCATGGGTGTTTATGCTTTATTTATAAGAAGCAGGAAACTACCAGGGGGAGGGAGCTGGAAAACTAAAAAAGCTGGCAGACAAACCACACCCACAGTCTTCTTACTGAATGCTACACACTCACCTCTCTATCAGTTCACTCTGGGTGCTCATTTCCACTCCTACTGATTTTCCTGAATGCAGAAAAAACAAGAAGGAAAACATTTTTTTAAAGTGCTCCCTATAATTTCTTGCTTATACATTTTCAGAAACACTATTCCATTAATCACTCTTTATAACAAGCCAGGGTATTTAAAGTAGGATTATCCAGAACACGATTCAAACTAAGACTTCTCCTTATCCCTGCTCCGGCACTAGTTCTAAGAGGGAAGGGACAGCATTGAAGCTAGGAGCAATGACACAGGTGCAGGAGCTCTGTTCTTCTCTAAAACTCTGATACTAACAGAACACATGCTCTCTAAAGGAAATAGGCAACAAAAGCAGGAAAAAGATCACTACCCTTCCGGTACCCGCTACCCACGTTACTGGATTTCCTTCCATTCTCTGTCCATGCATTTGGGCACAGGTGATAGGGTATTGTGGCTTAATTTTTCACTTCATACTTTGATAAGCATTTCTCTTACTAAATTTGCTTTAGAAACATCATTTTTAATGACCACATTAATGTTCCATTGGAGACACGCACATGTCACAATTTTGCCAGTCCCATTTTGACATTTAGGTCATCTCCAATTTTTCACTTTTATAAGAATAAATGAAATAAACATCTTTGTGCGTGCAGCTTTATCTGCATTTAAATTATTTCTTTAGGAAAGAAGCTCAGAAGAAGGATTACTAGGGAAAGGAGTATATGAGTACAGCTGAAAAAGCCAATGTCTGCAACAGGAGAAATGACAACAGAAAACAAAATAAAGCAAAGCATAGCTGGGCAAAAGTTTATTTGAAAAAAAAATTCAGAACTCTGATAACTGCAGACTCAGATGAGCTCTTTGAGGAAACTAACATGTGTCTAAAGAGAAAAGCAAGCCCTTCTATAGCAGTACTTGAAAAATGAGGCTACAATTAAACAATACCCACACATACATTTTTAAAACCACACCTAAAGGAAAGTTCTCAACACCGGCACACAGGACAAGATCACCGGAGACTCACACGTTTGCCTTGTGTCTGTGGTTCCCACGGACGAACAAGCAGGCTGGCTGGAGGTGCTGCCAGGGCTCCCTCTCCACCCACCAGGCCAGCAACTGGGCACCAGGTCACAGCCACCTACCCTGTGCTTGCAAGTCACCTTCCACTGCAGTCTGTCACCAGAAACGAGTCAGACAGGCCTGACAGACAAGGGGCCAGGCCCTGAGGACAGTTCTTTAATAACCACTGATTAAAGAACAGGCCTCACAACCATCCTTCAGGCCCAGTGCCGGTATCTCCATTTTACAATAAAGTAGTGGAAATCCAGGAGGTTTAAGCTCCTATTCTCTCACTCCACCCAATGCACACTTTCACGTCCTCTCCTGCATGTTCCTGTTTAGCAAGAGACAAGGAGACATTCCTACAGCTAGCTCAATCACACATCTACGTCTCCGTCCTCTTGCTTACATCCTGTAGTGCCGTGACATTTCAGCTGCCAGGGTAGGGAGGGGTTGGCAGGCCTATACCACAGTGGATGCTCCTAAGGGCTCCCCCTTTCTGTCCACATTCCTCCAAGGGGGAATCTATATCTGACTGGGTCAGATTCCAAGACCAAGGCTGGAAGTCCCAGGCAGCAAGACCACCACAAACGGGCAGGGACAATTGCACATCCAAAGAACAACTCAGACAGCGTTTTTCATCTCACCTGCACTGGGGCTGCTTACCAACATTCAGTGGATGATGAGACTTTGGCCCTACAGAGCCCAAGGAGGGGCCACCTGCTGCAGCCCAGCCTTGCAAAGAGCTGAGGTGTTCTACACACAGCCAGGCCACAGTAACTCCTGCTTCATACACCACTGCTCTCTAGGACACACACACTCCTCAGGAACTTCGCGGGGCAGGGGACACTTGGTCTGGGGCAGGTTTCGATCATTCACAAACTGATCTTAAAATCATCAAAAACCTCTCCTCGATTCCCAAGAAAATGACCAAAGAAGGAAGGGCCCTAATGCCACCAGCAGCATGGGACTCCTCTTCTTCAAATAAGAGATCCTTTGAGGGGCTTGTAACGACTCAACAATTATATTCCACCTGTTCCCTATCACGACTGTGTTCTTTAAAACCAAATGGCAAATTGCTATTGTGGGATTCACAGGGAGATCATTACCGCCAATGCACTGAATTTCTTGGTGGACACTGCCTGCATACAGGGGACAGGGGACCATCTGTCAGGCTATTCCAGAAGCTGAGGAAGGATGTCCTGAAAACACTGCTCCCATCTCTCAGGTCAATCTTATTGCTATCCCTAAAAGCTGTGTGGTAGCGAGGGGACTTCATCTTTCCAAATAAAAGAACATCTAGTTATTGAATTCATATTTGAACAAGGAAGAGAATTATTATGCAAGACAAACTTGTAATTGGTTGACCCACCTCCGGTTTCCTCTCTGCACTGATCCATCCTGTGCACTGCCACCATTTAAAAAGCCTCTTTCAAACAGTAGTCCCAAGCTCAAAGCCCATCCATCGCACAGAATTCAGTTCAAATACCACCACAGCCCAGTATCTCCTCCCTGACCCAATGTTTCTTCCTTTCTGTCTCACTAGTAATCTGTAGTAACTATTTCCAGGGCTCCTCCTAGGTGCCTGTGCCAGATGCTGAGGATGCAGCGATGACTGGGGAGCCATCCTACCTGCAAGGAGTTCGCAGCTGAGCGACAATCACATTACAGCGCTGTGACAAAGGGCAGCATGGGATACTGAGGGAGGACACACGGAGGAAACAAACACAATCCCGCCTGGACCATCAGGGAGAATTCAGAGGAGGTAACAACTGACCTCCATCTCTGAGGCAGGAAAGCACTGCTTTACAAAGACAGGAAAAAGCTAAGGGGCTATGTGGACCGGACCACAGGGGTACTTAGGAGGAAAATCCTCCATTTTCTCTGGTAGCCTGGTTCACTATGCTGACTCTAACCTGCATAACCCACCACCAATCTTAATACCCTGCCCCAACAACTAGGAATCCTTCCATTGTGAAGGCTTTCCTCCTGGAAGCCCTCCCTTCAGGGCTCAGAGGTACATCCTGTTGAGCCCACACACTGTGTGGAGACAGAGTCTGAGGATTTTTCATCAACAGGCTCTCCAGAATGAGGTCCACACCACATACACCTATCAGCACTGTCATCAAATCCTGATTGGCACTCCATGTCCTGCCCCTTCCCAGGCTGAAGGCCAGGCCCAGACAAGGCCCCCTCTTCCAGGAGCTTATGCTCTGAGGAAATGAAATATGTCTATAAGAATTCACTGCTATGACCTCCTGAGATTTTATTATTGGCCAGGCAACTCTGCAAAATACGTGCCATCACCTCACAGAAATCTGACCTTTAACCGTAAAACTGGGATTTGAACTCAAGTCTGTCAGGCTCCAAAGGTTCAGTTCTTTCCACCCCACCACATGGCCTCTGTCACAAGCCCAGATGTGACTGTCACCTGTGAGCTACAAACAACCCAGAAATAAAGAGGACTAGATTTGCTCCACTTGGGGGTGAACAAGGAAAGCGTCCTGGAAGGTAGGCAGAATCTCTAGAAGTGGAGAGGAAGTAAAAGCTTTCTAGCAAGGGGACTGGTTTGAATAGTCACAGAAGTGGGGAACTGCAAGGCCTGATCCACAGAAACATTTCACCAGGACACCTAATCTGATAGGATGTGAGACACGGGACATCATGATGGTCAGGAGGTTAGGCTGTGGCAGCAAATGCCTGGGCTCAAATCCAGACTCTGCCACTTCCTGTGTGACCCTGAGCAAGTCAATTAGCCTCTCTGTTCCTCACTCATTAAATGAGGACCAACAGTACCTCCTCATAGGTAAGAGCAAAGCCCGGCATATAGTAAGCACTCGGTAACAACCAGCCTTCCTCACTGTTTCTCCTTTATCATCATTATTTAGGGATCAGTGGGCTGGAAAAGGTAGACTGTGGAAGGCCTTGAAAGAAAAGTATGTGTCTGGTTCATCACTGCAGGCAAAGGAGAGCCAAGGGGAGGGACCCAGCAGCTGGCTTCTACTCATGTGGCTAAGCCCTGGTGCACGTGGTGAGCTGAGGAAAGGGGCTACCTCAGTCTTCTCTGTTTGAGGGCTTACTCAGACATACCCAAAGACAAACATGGGCGGTACCATGTACAAGGAAATGGTGGAAAATCTGGGAATGCAACATCAGTTCCTGATCTATTTTGGGTCTCAACCCGATTTGAGAATCTAAGTTTTAGACCCTCACCGAGAAAAGTGCACATACTCACAAAATCCACAGTGCTCCAGACCTACTGCCTGTCAGCCCAGTGTTACAAGCAAGGAAACCACACTATCATCCTGCTTCTTGGGTTCTAACAACCAAATATTAACAAAGAAATAGCACGGATATGCACAAAGACTCCAACCCAGTGTCCATTACAATAACCCCAAACTGAGAACAACCTAAATGTCCATCTAACGGGGGTGATTAAATAAATGATGGTACATTCATACAAAAGAATGTTCTGCAGTGACTAGAGCTTACAATGTAGACTAATGTTTATTATCTATAATTGAACAAAGGGAGAGACTGCAAGCAGTCCTACTTCCACAAAAAATACAAATATATATAAAAGGATCTGAAAATATAAACTCCAGGGTGTTCATGTTTTGTGGTATAAATGGTACAATTATTCTGTTATTCCACAGTAAACATGTACTGTTTTATATTAATAAAAAAAAAAAGACTATATTTAAATTTTTTAAGAACTCATGCTATGCGACTGCCTCAAATATAAATAAACTTTGATAATAAGCTCATTTCACAGTTCAGGAGCCACACCCTTAGTGCTGGGCCCTCTCAGCCCCACTTCCTAGGGCCCCGGTACAGCTTGCAAGAGGAACAGACAGATGGGAAGCGCCGAGGATGGAAGATGCAGCTCCATCTTGAGGGCTGGTATTCCCCAATAATAAAACGAAAACTAACTTATTTGGAAAACCTTCGCCAGAAGAAAGCAGATTTCATAAAGCTGGGAAGTCAAGTGCTCCTAAGGCCTGGTGGCCCTCACAGGTCTCATAGATCTGGTACTAGAAAATCAGTCTGTAACCAGCCTTGCTGCTGGGCTCTTTAAAAAATCAGAAAAAAACATTCCCTGGGCCCAGAGGCTAGGCTACCCTGTGTTCTACCTTGGAATTAAATTGAACATATGTGGATCTTCATGAGCCATCTGTACCATAGGTATGAACTGAAGGACTGAGGTCAGATCCTGGTTTTGCCAAGTCAATTGTGACTTTGAGCACCTGGCTTCCTCTGTTAGGACAGAGTTCCTCATGTCTACCGGGCTGTTCTGAAGACTAAGCACCCAACTCACAAGTGCAGATCCTTGTGAGCACTCAGGACTAAGAGCGTGCACCAGCACGGAGCCAAAACTCCATGTGCACCATTTAATTTAACCCTTATAGCTCACACAGGAAAGCCTCTGATGTGAGCAGAGAAGGGACTGCCCTGACTTACAGTTTGAAAAGATCACCAACTATTGTGTGGAAATGGACAGTAGTGGGACAGGGTGGGAGTGGGGACCCCAGGAGAGCAGGACTGCAGTGCTCCAGGGGAGGTGGCAATGGTGAACTGGAGCTGTGGCAGCAGTGAGGGAGTAACGATTGGTCCGATTCAGAATCCACGTTGAAGGGAGAGCTTCCAAGGGGCAGCCCAAGGGTGGGTGCAGAACTGTCTCATTGGTGTCATCTTAGAAGCCAAGGGAGGACACGGGTTCCCACATCCAAAATTGCTGTGGGTTTGAGTAAAATGCAGTCTGAAAAACTGATCACTGGGTTTAGTGAGTGGAAGTTGTTAGTGACTCTGGTGAATGCCTGAATCTCAGAGGAAAGCTTGGGATGTCTGGGAGGCCCATTCCAGGGGGTTAAGAGAGAAACGGAGTCTATAAAGCAACTAATGGACATAAAAAAGAAGGACAGTACTAATGACTTCACAGAAGCCATTTACAAGAAGCAAAGTTTTAACTTTGGAACCACCTTAATGTTACTCATATTCAAAAAATAAAACTAAGTGAAACCAATAAAATTGAATACAAACAAAACCAAAAAAACCTGTATTTCAAATGAATAACAAAAGTATAGAAAAAAATGAAACCAAATAACTAAATTTAATACCTGACTAAATACCCTTAGCCAGCACCAACTCTTGGTTTCTAAATGGCATTTCCCTTTAAAATGAACCAGGGCTACTTAGGGAAATAGCTGATTCAGGGACAAAGACAGTATAAAATGACCCTGGAGCCCTGGCCAGTGTGGCTCAGTTGGTTGGCGTGTCATCCCATACACCAAAAGAAAGGTTGCCGGTTCGATTCCCAGTCAGGGCACATACCTAGGTTGTGGGTTTAATCGATCCCTGGTAGGGGTGTATATGGGAGGCAAATGATTGATGTTTCTCTATACATTGATGTTTCCTCTCTCTCTCCCTTCCCTCTCTCTAAAATCAGTAAAAGCATATCCTCTGATAAGGAATAAAAATAAATAAATAAATAAAATGAGCTTGGAACATCCTTTTTTGTGCCAGAAAGAAAGTGCCCCCCCACCCCAAAAGATGGAGACACGTCAAAAGGAACTGCCACCTGCTGATGCTGGAACAATTTGACCATTAATATGAATGAAAGAATGGATAACAGTCCACTGAATAAAAGAAGAATCCACAGGTCAACACTCATAATACACAAAAAACAAATAGAAATAAAAGGAGGTAAAAGGAGAATTCATCCTTGTAACAGATGCCACCTAATAATAAATGAAGAAGGAATGACGGCATTAGAAAAAAATCACCATGTTACCATCATCCGTGGTAAGTGACTAAGACAAGAATCATCAATGGATGGTAAATCTCATGGGAAAAGTTTGAAGAGGAATAAAATACAGAGTTACAAAGTATCCCCCATCAATTACTTCTATAATTACACAGGGAAATATTGTAATCTACAGTGAAGAAGCCTGGCAGACATCACCTTAAATAGTGATCAAAGTTAATACCACAAAAAATGGGACAAACTGATATCATGGGCCTCCTTAATGACACCATGAGAATATAGTCATTTATGTAGTACTCCGGCCCAAACCACATAACACATCTGATCTAATCATGAGGAAACAACAGATAATCCCAAATTGAGAGACTGGCCTGAAGTCCTCAAATATGTCAGTGTGATGAAAAATAAAAGGTGAACTAATCCAGATTAAAGGACATCAACGAGCCATGACAACTAAATGTAACATGGGGGCTGGATCCTGGACCAGGATCAGGAATAAAACTCTCATAAAAGACATTTTTTAATGCTATATGATTCCATTTACATGAAGTTCAAGAATAGACAAGACTAATCTATGGGAAAGTTCAGAACAGTGGTTGCTGTGAGATCATAAAAAACATTATTGAATTAATTAGTGAAATTTGACTATAGACTATATGTTAGAAAATAGTATTTCCTGATTTTGATCATTGTGGTCAAGTAAGAGAATGGTCTTGGTGTGAAGTATCTAAGGAGATTAATGATACATGATATCATCTATCCACTCTTATAGGGTTAGGAAAAAAATAAAATAATGTGTGTGTGTGTGTGTGTGTGTGTGTAAAGAGAGAGAGAGAATGATAAAGCAATGTGACAAAAAAACAACCACTGGCAAATTTGAATAAAATGGAAGCTCTCTGTTGTAGTCTCAGAAAATTACAAATTATTTTTTTTTAACATTCTTAATGCAGTAATATTTATAACACTAGTAATATTTGTTGAGGTACCTAGCATATGGCAAATGGTTAGCAAAGCTTTTCTTTCATCCTTTCTCTGACTACCTCTGACCCTTGAATACATATTTTTTAAGCAATAAAAGTTTTGGTCTTTTGGTTGATTTGTTGTTGCCAATATTAAAAACTCATGAGTTTCTACCTCCAAACCCCCAATTTCCATCTTCTCTTGAAAACATGGAGAAACTGACCACCATGTGGTAGGTGCTGAGGGGGCACCACCTCCTGCTGGCTTCACTTGTGTGCCTCACCAGCCGGCTCCTGAGGCATGTACACCAGACCCCAGGTTTGAAACAGTGGAAAGGTCACTGGAAGGAAGCAGCAACCAGTGTGGCCTTGCTGTCACCTCATCAGAGCAGAGGGTAGAAGGTAAGTAAGGCCAAGGAGTCAGTTCCTTCTGGGCCCTCCAAGAAGTCCTGGATCAATTACTGATGTGTCTTAGGACTTGAAGTGCCTCTCCCCACTTACCGTTGAGAAACAGCTTTTCCAATTTCTCGAGCAGCTCAGCACATTGATTCAGCTGTTCCTGGAAGCCCCTGGCCACGTAGTAGTCCACATCGCTGGCTTGCAGCAGCTCCTCAAATGCCTTAATCATGGTGTTCATGTGTTGACGATAAATGACACAGATGCCATGGCTCTCCTTAATCTGCTGCCGCTGAAGGGAGAGCTCCCTGGCTTGGGACTGAACTAACGAATTGTATCTGATAAAAGGGGGGAAAGAAAATGCTGTACCATTTTAAAATTGAATTTTTGTGACCTTAACACTAATTGGAAAAATGACAGAGCACAATTTTTAAAAGCCTGCAGCTGTACAAGTATATATACTTTTAGAAAAATTGAAACTGTACAAGGTCACTCTTTCGATTTCAAAACAGCCAACAAATGCTGGAACAAAGGTTCTTCTGCAATATTTTTAACCTTATGAAGCCCCCAATTAAAGTAAGATTGGCAAGGACTCAGGAGAACAATCAATTTCCATACACTCTTCAAAAATCCTATTCTGAATTGTAGAAACAAGTGCTCAAGGGACAGGGAACCCACCACAAATTCTCATGAAGAACAGAAAAGAAACTGTAGGCAGGAAAACAAAGACAGGATCCCCTCCTCTCAACCAAAAGGTCAGGCAATAATCAGAATCCTAACTACCATTTATGGAGGGTCTATGACCTGTCAGTCACTGCAGTGGGTGTTTTTGATAACTTATCTGATCCCCGCAATCTTCCAATAAATGTATGAACCTCCCCTTTTACAGAAGAGAAAACTGACTCTGAAGTCACAAAGTTAGTTAAATGGTGAAGATCTCGGACTCAAACGCAGCTCTGCCTTCGAAGTCCATGCTCTATTATGCAACAGTGCCCCGCTTCCTACGCGAGTCCTCAGGTATTAGGAGAAACTGGGAAAAACACAAGCTAAGGAAAATGTGGCTCACAGAAGCTGTGGCCACAGTAACCTGGCTCCAGGGTGGCTTGGCAAAGACACTGACCCCTCAGTTCAACAAGTTCCCGTCCCTGAAACAATGACAGTGTGAGGGACTGATGACCACCGTCCCCGAGTGTGCATACAGACCACGTGGCAGCATACTGCAGGGGGGCCCGATGAATGATGAGAAGGAACAGAGGTATTGGAGTGGGATAATGTGGGCTTGAACTCGGGCACAGCTCCGAGAACCTTCTCAGGCAATTCAAGGCAATCTCTTTGAGGTTCAATCTCCTCATCTACGAAACCACATTTAATGACACCTCCTCCTCAGGCGATTTTGAGGGTTAAGTAAAAAAAGTGTCCAACTGAAGGTCTGATACAACTGCCTTTCAATAAATACAAGCTTCCTTCAATCTCACTGTTTGAGAAGTCTTGAAAAATTCACTCTGGCTCCTGACAATTCAGAACAATGTGTTTGTCTCAAATTAGTGACGAATGAAGGTCAGCTTTACAAATGATCCCATTTTTGCCATTATCTCATGAAGCAAAGCTGTATGTATCTAGGTCTATAAAACATATCTTCATGACCTAAGAATTTTTCTCTTTCAACACTGGCTTGTTTCTCTAAGATGACCTTAAAGGGTAAAGATATGGAAAATATTTATATTATTCCCACCCTGCCTAGGACATCTTCCAGTTCTGCAACACAGTAAGTAAAAGCCAGTAATGGCATCCAGGAGTGAACATTGCCATTCAGCAAACATACTATAAATCACCAAGTGACTGGTATAAATTGTTTACTGAGTCCCCAACCAAAGGAGGGCAAAACCTGCCCTACCAATTGTAGCGGATACAAGACTGGTATATGTACAGGCACTATTCTCTGTGGCCTCACATTTCACTTCTCGGCAGGGCCTGGATGCCTTCCCCACCACACCACCCCGCCCCCCAATAAGCAGTACATGCTCCACCCCAGGGCCTCTGTTAGCTCATGGGCTCTGACTTAGTGGCGACAGGGAAACTGCAGGCTTAAACAGTGGGAGAAGACAGAGGTGGATGTACCTTGAGGGCGAGAGATCTCTGAACTTATTCTGCAGGTCATGGATTTCACTGAAAAATTCCATGTTCAAATTCTGCTCTTTCTGCAGCTCACTTTCCTGTTCTACTAGCTGCTGTTCAAAGTTCTCCACCACCCTGCCATCAGTCATCTCTGAGCACAGTGGACTGAGGACTTCCATGTGTTTCACATAATGTACTTGGTGCAAACTTGAAAAGGTCATTTCTTCTTCATCAGTACCACCCTTGGGTTTGTTGGAGCCATCCTGGGCCCCTTCTGTCCCACACAAAACAGTGATAATGGCCTCACTGCACTGGGAGTGCTTTTGAAGCTGAAATACGAAATTCCGGTAGCCTTCGAGTTCGGTTTCCAAGTCATAGATTTTCTGTTTTAAGTTTTCTGTATCATTTGAGGTATCAATGTTCTTAGACTGATCGGTTCCAATCAGACTGACTTCAGTGGAAAGCTGACTCTTAGAACTCAGGTAAGTAGCTACTGAAGTTGGGCCCTGAAAATCTTCAAAAGGATTCTCTTTGCATGATGGCAAGATGGCAGGGTCATTGGGCTGGTCAAGTTCAGAGTCTGAAAATCAAACACATTTATGTCAGTGTCTCCTTTGCTGAAATCCATCCCCACAGCCACCGCTAAGCAGAAACAACTGCAAGAGCTTCCTAACAAGCCCCAACCACAGTCTCCCTCTTGCCTCATCCTCTTCCTAGACCTTTAGTGACTGGTCTAAAGTGAACTTAACCATGGTAACCACTCTCCCACCACCAAACCCTAACCAACATCCCCACCACCTTGAGGATCAAATCCAAACTCCCTCTCATGGCATCCGAAACCCTCCATGATCTAGTTCCATGCAATCTTCTCTGGAACATCCTGACACCACCTATGGAGATTCCCCATTTACCATACCCCTCCCCCCACACACCAGGCTGGTTCCTGCCTCCATGCTTTTGCATGTCCATTTTCCTCCACCTGGAATACACTCAACCCCTCTACTCTATTCCTACTCAGTGAACTCCTTCTCATCCTTCAACACCCAGATCTATTTTCCTTCCTCTGCAAGTCCATCTCTAAACTATGCAAAACAGTCCCTCACATCTTTGTTTCCACAGCACCTTACATATATTACCCGGGACAAATGTACTGCATGGTGAGTGCTAATGCAGGAATTACAACTGGCTTTTTAAATTTACTTACACAGTAATTAGTTATTTGGGTTCTCTCCCTCACTGGCCTTTCACCTTTGCATTCTCAGTGCCTAGAACAGTACCTAGCCAGACCAGAAGTCAGTAAAGGTCTGATAAATACTGGGGACTGAGAGAAGTAAGATTAAAGAGCAGTAATTCTAAAATCCACAACAGATGAGTCTTCTACTAATTTCCATGTCTACCAGTCTCCAGGAGATGCCATGATGTCCCCTGTAGTTAAGCTGTTTCAATGACTCATGACCCTGCCAGGAAACATTTCCTTACAGCTAGTTTAAATCCTGAGGATGTGGCCAAACTTGTTTGAGAGGTGGAGTAGTGCTGCAGAAATATATGGCTTTGAAGCCAAAGAGAGGTAGGGGATCACACCCAGCTTTGCCACTTGCTGGCTGCACGCCTTTAGGCAAGTAACTTGCTATCCCAGAGCCTCAGTTTCCCCAGAGATGCCTAATATATATGCCTGTTGTAAGGCTTCAAGCTCAATCCTGAGTCCAGAGCTTCTGTCCTTAACCACATACCACACTGCCTGCTATCCAGGGAAAGCCCAGCTCAATACAAAAAGTTGTTTGAATACTTAAGAGGCAGCAAAATTTAGTAGAAAAACCCATCTTTGAAATGCAACAAGACTTGCTTTCAAACTCTGGCTCCGCCATGTACTTGTATGCTATTTAGTCACATGACCTTCGGCAAGTTACTTAACCTCTCTGAGTCTCAGTAGCTTCACCCGTAAAACAAGAACACCAGTCACTAGGAAGGGTGGTGTTTGTTTTGTTTTTAGGATCAAATGGGACAATATCTGCAAAAAAGGCTAACAGTGTCTGGCACACAGTAGTGAAGGAACCCAACTAATACTAACATCCTTTGCTTCCCTAAAACTGTTCAAAGATGGAAGAGGATGCCTATCGTAGGAGGCATTCAAGCAAAGGCTGTGGGCTTGGAAAATGCAAAAGTAGCCATGTGGGTTGGATGCCATGACCTTGGTAATGTCTCACAAAGAAAAGCATACAAAAATCCTTGTCAGGCTGTATATTCCAATTTCTGGGTCCTACAACTGCTCCCATGACTTTAAACCCATTCTATTCTCCGCTCACGATGAAAATACCATAAAACAAACCTTCTTGTTTCAGAAAGCAGCTGCTACATGACCTAAAGGAAACATTCCTAACAGAGCATTCTTACTGTATAAAATCTGTTATAATCACCAGTTTCTGAGGTCCTCCAGGGTGGAGACCATGTCACTTATCTGTGTCCCCAGTGCCTGGCACAGGGCCTGAGGCAGAGAAGGTACTCAGTAAGTACTCCTGGTTGAATGAGGAGAGAGACAGACAGAGGGAGAGATCTCAACAAGGCTTTTTTTCCCAGTGTATCATCTTCTAAGACAAGGAAATAGCTTTGCTGTAACAACCGCATGAGAATGGAATTTCATGGCAAGAAGCAACGTTCACTCATGAGAATGAAGATCAGTTCTGATGAGTTTTGTGAAGTAATCATGAGGCAGAGACAAATGTAAGACCCATACAAATGTCCTTTTGTAACACAGACTGTGGCCAGCTCTGATGTTTAGCTACACACACGCACACACCCCTCAGAATAGCTGGGAGGGTACATTCTCACATTCACTCCACTTTAAACTCTGCTCCTACAACACAACAAACCTAACATTCAGACACTTGACATTCATAATTTTGACTCCAGAACTGCCCGAATCTACAGCAATTTGTGATTTAGCAGAGGTAAGGTTCTGATTCTAGGCTCCAGGGCCAGTATACAGCAAGTCTCAGCTTGACATGGCAATGTGGCTGTGCTACTTGCTGCTCGGCAGCCCTCAATAAAGTTCCAAAGGAGTTGCTTCCACTTTTTCATTTAAAAATAATTGTACGGAGGGTGTGTGAGAGAGGCAGTATTATAAGCTGTAGTGTACAGTATGAACCTGCATGTTTAGCGAGGCTTTGGGACATATTATGTGCCAGGACCTGGCCTAGGCACCCAGTACCTCACCTATGCTACCCACTTAATCTCCATAACAACCCTGTGAGACATCATGAGTATGCCCATGTTACAAAACAGGAAGTCGAGGCTTAAGAGAGATAAGACCTTGCCCAAGGTTCAGGGCAAGTAAGCAGCAGAGTCCCCGTCAAAGCTGGCAGCACACCTCCAACTCTGAATGCTTTGTCCCTCCTGCAATCAGGGTCTGTCTCCTGTATAAGGGGCACAGGAGCAAGGAGAGGCAGTCCTCAGACCTTAATGTGAAGGCCAATGTCTACGAAACCCTCTTCATTCATTTCCTAAGTATCTATCCAGGTGCTTGAAGAAGAAACATCAGTGAAGGCATCACACACAGTACCCAGCCGTGTGGAGAGCAGTCACTGAGCAAGTAGTCAAGAAGCCTTCAGTAATGGACTAACTACGAACAAGCAAAGATGCCCTCAGGGCTGTTTATTTGCATTATAGGAAGTATTGCAGTTCTAGAACTTTCTACAATTCAGCTAAGAGTACTTTTTAATCTGATAGAGTGGCTTTCTCCTCAAAGCCCAATGTTCAGAAGCATTTGACAATGTTTTCACTGCATTGAGTACAGGCCTCAGGAGAAGAACAGGGCCCATGACTCAGGATTTCCCCAAGACTAGAATTCTCATGTCCTGAAGATAATTATTTCTTACAGAGTGAAAAAGGTCCCGATTAATGGTGATTTTTCTTTTTAAATAAAAGGGCAGAAAGATGTAAGGTAAAAAGAAAAACATGTAAGCATTTGTTCATGCTGATTGAATGGGAACATGAATGCTGTTATGTGATCCTTTGTGCTTATCTGCACGTTTATAATTCTTAATTTTTAAGAAAAAGGAGATACAACTTACCTGCAGCCTCACTCACATCTCTGTACCTTTCCCACTGACTTGCTCAACAAACCCCACAAAATAGGTACCAGCTTAGGCTCTCCTGTGGCCCTTTCTCTGAGGTGACCAGAGGCCAACTGTGCACACGTAACAATAGCCAGCACCACAGAGGTTACGGAGGAGCTGACTATGAGACCCTGAGAGCAGGCACTGTGTCTTTTTGGGCTGAACCACCAGAACCTGGACCGCTGCCTGGTAGAAAAGTGCCTGGTAAAGGGACTGAACCACCAGAACCCGGCCCACTGCCTGGCAGCAAAGTGTCTGACAAATGGACTAATGAGCTCAGGCAGACATCCATTGCACCCTGACCTATTCACCTCCACACCAGCTGGGTGACCTGGATCAATTCTTTTTAAAAACCTCAGCTTCCCCATGTGTTAAATGGGGACAATGGTGATGCCCTAAGATGGCTGCTGCAGAGCTTGCTAATCATTTTTACATAAAACACATGGTGCCCACACACAGTAGCTAGCTGTTCAATACACATAGGGGTTGAATATTCACTGGTCTTGTAGCTGGTTTGCTGATTATTGTCCCTTTCCTCGTTTCTCCAGACATAGGGCGTGGTTTTAATTCCTTTTTGCTCTCCTGGGCTATCCTGGTAGGCTGCTCGCACAAGGGGCTGGGCTACAGGCACTCACAAAGAGAACAAAAAATAAATAAAAACACAGACTTGAAATTTAGCCAAGCTACTGAGAAGAACACAAAGATACAACAGGGAAATAAAAACACTGGGGAGGCAAAATGCAATTTATAAGATAAAATTAATCTATCGAGCTGCCATAACAGGACATAAAAAGCATAAATATACTGCAGCTTGTCTGAAATGGTTTAAGTCCAGGCTCTCAAAAAACTATGAGTGAGAAAATGAATTCCATAGACTCATGCCCATCTTTCCCAAGAGAGGCCCCAGGGTCTTCTGGGCAACTTTGGAGGGAAGTAGCACCTGATTGAGGCACCCTGGGGTCTCAAAAAGAAATAAAATCATTGTTAAGTACAAATGGCAAGCCCTGGGTGAAGTGTGAGGGCCTCTGGCTGAGTCACTTTTGCCATAAAATCTTTCCTCTCTCAAGTGCCCCCACCTCCCGACCTGAGCTGATTTGTTTAATTATCTGTCCCCCCCACCACCAGATAAGGAGTTCTCAGAAGGTAGAGACTGTCTCTCATTCCTCTCACTCTCCTATACCCAGTACATGAGGCTGGGGACACTGCAAGTGCTCAGGGGCTATTCACTGCACCAGTGAATAGATGCCTGCAAGGGTAGATGGATGAATGAAGAGAAGGGAAAGGAAGGAGTCAGGGAGGGAAGAGCAATCCTGCCAACGGCCAACTTATCTTAAAACCACAACTATGATAAACTCAAGAAAGAATCTAAAGTTAAATGGAAAATACCTCTGGCTACAGATCATCATAAAAACCACACGCAAAGTACGATAAACTAGCTTTATGAAACAGTAAGGGGCGTAGGCTTTGAAATCAGGTAGGCTGGTTCAAACCTAGCTCAGGAAGTTAGTAACTGACTGTGCCCAAGCCACTTTATCTCTAAAACTGCTGCCTCAGTGATGGAATAACTACATCTGCCTCAAAAGGACTGTTAAGAGGATTCAACCAGATCATGTATTTGACATGGACAGTGGGGCCGAATGAACAACAGGTGCTGTTTTTTCACAGCCCCAGGAATTCCCAGGCTCCCAGCCATCTCCCATCCCTAAACCACTCTGAAAATCCCCTAAACATGCCATCTTCCCACCCCAGTATACAAGCCCTTCACTGGCAAAATCCCAAAACTAACCTGTTTCCTCCCTGCACATTCTTCTCACCCCCCTGCTGTAAGGGAACCCGAGTGTCCCCGACATGCTCTCCCCGACATGCTCTCCCCGACATGCTTCTCCCCCAGCCTCCCCAGGAGGGCTGTTTCTCTCCCACATCCCCTGCATTGTGCACCTGGATCTGTGGAAGTGCCTTTGCTCTTCACTGGCACCTCCAGAACATTCTCTCTTCCCCAAGCACTCTGGCTTTGTGGCTCATGCTGTCAGACTATCCTACCACCTACCCACCTTAGTGCAGTCATCCACCATCACCTGACTCAGTGACAAGGAGACTCCTAACTTAGCCCTGCTGCTCTAATCCCTCAGAGCCCTCTGTCCTTGCTGTCTCCACTGTTCTCCCCCATTCTCTCTCTCTGGAAGCCATGCCACACAGGCCCCACCCACTCCACTGAAACAGCTCCTGTCAGTCACCAAGGACTGCCTCACTGCTAAATCCCAAGGCCAGTCCTCAGACCTGGTTGTACCTGACTCACTGGTAACTTCCACACAGCTAATGTGTTTCTCACTCAGCTTCTGACCGTCATCCTTTTGTGGCTCCCTCCACCTTCACTACTGCTCCCCTTAGTCCAACCTCTACTTACTAGAGAGCCCCAGTCTCAGTTCCTGGACCACTCCCTGTCTCCAAGTCTTACAGCTTCAAATACCAGGGGTATGTTGATATTTCCAAAGTTTATAGCTCTCACCCAGACCTCTGTCCTTGACTCCAGACACATGTATCTCCACCTGACATCTCCCCTGGGATGGGCAACAGGCATCTCACCTAAGTTCAGAACCAGACACCTACTGCCTGCCTCTCTTGCAGGCCTTCCCATCTCATTATGTGACAGCTCCATCCTTCCAGTGGTTCACATTAAAGTGACCCTTCAGAAGAGAGGTTGGCCTACTTTTCTTAAAAGCCAAATCATAAATATTTCAGACTCTGGGAGCCACGGGGTCTCTACCACACTACTCACCTCTGCCATCATACTGCAAAAGCAAACAGACAACATGCAAACAAATGAGTATGGCTGTGCTCCAATGGAACTTCACAGACACAGGCCACAAGCTTGGCCTACAGGGCACAGTTTACCAATCCCTGCTTTAGAGCTTAAGTCAGATCATATCACTCTGCTGCTCAAAACCCTGCAAGTCTCCAATCTTACCAGGTGTAACAGACAGAGCCCTGGGAAAGCCTGAGGGCCTACTCGCCCTGCTGCCTCCCTGACCTCTTTCCATCTCCCTCCTCACTCCACTCCAGCCATGTAATTGACCTTCTTCCTAGTCATCCAACTCCTCAAGTCCAATGCAACATCAGGGCCTTCTACCAGGAAGGAACATCCCAAGACGACTAGTCCCCTTGTTTCCTCCCGGTTTCTGTTTAAATGCTGCCTCATCAGAGATGCTCTCTGGAACACTCCATGTACATTAGCAAACCCTACCCCCTTTACACATTATCCATGCCCTCTGCCCTGCTTTACTTTTCTCCACAGCACTTCTTATCTCTCATCTCATGCATCTGCTTATTGGCTTATGGTCTTTCTCTCCCCACAAGAATGTCAGCTACACCCAGGCTTTATCTGTTTTGTTCACTCCTATCTCCTTGGTGACGACAGCAGTGGTTGGCTCACAGGAGGATTCAATAAATACTTTCTGAATCAATAAATAAAAGATTACCGTTATTGTTCTTATTGTTGTGTGTTGCTCTCACTTGCATACAGCAGAAGTTCAATATCAGGAGTCAACATAAGTACTTCTGTGGATTTATGAATCCTCTGAAAATTATGTACATTGTGTGAGAGGCCCTCAGTTTTCTTTGGTTTCACAAAGAGGCAGCAGCCCCAAATCTCTGAGAACCACTGTCCCAGACTAGAGGACCCACCTGAGGGGCTCCCCCCCAAGTCTATGGAGTCTGCCCTTGATACATTTTGACGCAGGGGATTCAAAGTGGGTAGGGAGGCAGGTCACTCATTTCTAGAGCAAGACATAAGGTCAGTAGAGTCTGGAATTAGCCCTGGACATTCCAAAGAACCAGCAAAGGGGACTTTCACTTACATATGGGATGCCACATGCCTGAGGCTTCCACAGAGGAAGCCAGAAAAAAGGCCCAGGTTCAAGTCATCACAACTGCAGACAATGCCAAGTGAAGGGAGCAGTGACCTCGCAAGACCTGTGAGCACTACAAGCCCCTGTATCCAGACTCCAGAATAAAATGAAAACAATAGATTCATTTCCCTTATTGTGTTCCCTCGATTGTGTATTTGTCAAGAGTCAAGATTAATCACTGCAATTCATGAAATTTATACTCAAACTTATTGCAATTCTAAACAACAGGCTGACATTTCCAGCAGTTCTATCGGGTCGTTCATCTAGCTCGCGGAGAATACATTTTTCTAGGTGCTTACCTTTCAGTAGTGTTTTGTCTGGCGCTGGGCTCCCCTCCATCATTGCTTCAGCCAGAATTAACTTTTGGTGAAGTTGCTTGTTACAAATTTTAAACTCCTTCAGCTCCCCCTGCAGCTCCAAGATCTGGCCCTGCAGCTGGGCCACCACCTCCTGTGCAGCCGGGAGCCGATATACACTTCCTAATGACTGGGATGGTTTTATTAGGATGGGTAGGCGGGACTTCTTAGCATCCTGAAAACACACACACATAGACAACAATGAATACACCTCCTTTGATCACATACTCAACAGTCTCATGCCAATCTTGTAAAACAGAATTCAAACCACTGTCCAGACTTCTGGTTCCCATACTGGCATCGTGTTTGCCTCTCAGACTACAGAGTTTATATCTTGGCAAGTCCCTCTCTCACCAACAAGTGCCGAGCTTTTCCTTCTCGGCACCCTCTTGGCCCTGGCCCACTGTCCCTCTCTGGACATTCCAGATGTTCAACACATGACAGGTTTTTTTCCAACACAATCTTCTGGGAAACATTTTCTCCTCATTTCCCACCCATTCCTCAATCTAAGCCAATCTGTCTCCCACCACTGCTAGTCCACCAGTACCACCTCCTTACTAAAGTTTTCAGTGGCCATTGAATCACTAATCCAATAAATATTTCCCAGGTTCAGAGCTCCAGACCTGCTAATTGTGGATATCTTCATTTTCAATGGCTCCCAGGCGCTCCAAAGTCAACTAAAAACTCAACTCTCCAATTCCATCACCCCATGACCCAAAGCTATGACACTTCAACAGTCTCTGTCTTGGTGACTCACACCACCATCCACTTATGGCACAATCCAAAACCTGGGAGTCCTTTTAAAACTTCCCTTTATATTCGTCACACACTTTTATCACTCACTGGGTTCATTAATTCCAACTCCCAAGTTGTCTTTGGATTCTTTCAACTCTTCTCATCCTGCACTGCCACCATCCAACCCCAAGAAGCTCTCACTAGGCCATGGCCACAGCCTCCTGAGTGGTCCCCCCAACATTCATTCTTGACCCTTTTAATCCACTCTCCATGCTACAACAGAATAGGCAAACCTACCACCCCTCTCCTCTGCTTAAACTATTTTAACTGCTTCTCTTATGACAAAGGTCAAAGTCCTGACCACAGCCCACACTGTGCATAACCTGCAGCCAGAGTTACTGCCTCTCTCCCACCTCCCCCTAACTGCCAAATACTCACCTTCATTCAGTTCTTCAAAATGCTAGGCTCCTTCCACCTCAAAGCCTTGGCAGATGCTGTCTCCTCTGCCTAGGACACTTGTTCTTGCCCACCCCCACCTCACCCACTAATCCCAATATGTTCATTAGAACTCAAATGTGCCTTGATTTCCAAGACCAGGTCAGATCTCCCTGTTACACACTCACTGCCCCCTATGAGAATTAGTACCATCATAATTAAATGACTATGCAGTTCTTGTTCTTTGCCTATCTTCTGCTCTGGCCTACAAGTTCCAGGGCCGGGGGCTCTGCATTTCTTAGTCACACTCTATCCATAGCTTCCAGCACAAGAACTAGTACACAGTAGGTACTCAATAATGACTTATGGAATGAACATGCAAACAATAACTTAAGAGGCCAAATGGGGGTGCCTTTCAAGTGAAGAAATTTTAAACATAAACACTGAGAAGGACTGAATCTGGAATATATAAAAAAAACTATTAAAATTCAATAATAAAAACACAAATAGCTCAATTAAAAGACAGGCAAAGGATCTGAGAGACATTTCTCAAAAGGAGATACATATATGGCCAATAGGCACATGAAGAGATGCTCAATATCTTTAGTCACCAGGGAAATATAAATCAAATTGCAATGAAATACTGCCACTTCCTACTCATTAGGACAGCTATAATAAAAAAGATAATAAAACAAGTATTAGTCAGGATGTGGAGAAAACAACCCTCATACATTGCTGGTGAAAATGTAAACTAGGAGCAGTTGCTTTAGAAAACAGTCTGGCAGTTCCTCAAAAGGTTAAACACAGAGTTACTATGACCCAGCAATTCCACTCCTAGGTATAGACCCAGGAGAAATGAAAACATGTGTACTCACCAAAATATATACATAAAAGTTCATAGCAACACTATTCATAATAGCCAAAAAGTGAAAACAGTCCAAATGTCTATCAACTAATGAATGGATAAATTAAAGGCACTGTATCCATACAATGGACTATTTATTGTTTGGCAATAAAAATAAAGTAAAAATACAGATTACAGCATGAATGAACCTTGAAAACATTATGTTGAATGGAAGAAGCCAGTCACCAAAGAGCATATATTATGTGATTTGATTTATATAAAAATCCAGAATAGGTAAATATATAAAGACAGAAAAGAGGTGAGTGGTTGCCTCCGAGTAGGGGTGGGCAGGTGGGGAGAAGGGGCAGTGACTCCTAATGGGTTCAGGGTTTCTTTTGGACTAATGAACATGTTCTAAAATTGATTACGGTAATGGTTGCTCGACTCTATGAATATATTTTTAAAAACCCACTGCATTGTATACTTTCAATGAATGAATTGTATAATATATGAATTATATCTAAGTAAAGCTTTTTTTTTAAGTGGTGAAGAAGAAACCTGAGAGAAAAACAAGAAATATTTGGGACCCTGGGAATGAGGAAATCAACAGTCTCTCAAGAAGGAAAGAACAGGAAAAACCCCTTCTTGTACGTTCTAGGATATAAAATGCTTTCAGGCACATTCTCTCAGAATCCTCAAGAAAACTCTATTCCCAGAGCTCACAGGATAATAGAAGTTATCATGCCTATTTTCCAGACAAAGAACAGTCAATATCATACAACAAGGTTAGACAGCTGGACCTCAAACTAGCTCTTCAGACTCTACTGCTCAGTTTAATAAAAGTGAGGAATTTTCTGCTCTGAAATTCCAGGGAAGAGGAGAGAAAAGGTTCAAGGACAAGACCACTTATGGTGGTGAAGGCGACCAGTTGGAGGAGGTAGATGCCTCATCAAAGAGGACTGGAAAATAACAGTCATTTGTTTGGTCCTCTGTCTCCACCAATCTTTATTCTTGGATCCAAATCTGTATGTCAGATGGCAGCAGAAAAGATATCTGCAAGTGCACAAATGCCAAAGCCAATTCCAGGCTGGAAGGCTGCTGTCAGTCAACCTAATGCCGGTTCTAAAATAACACCGCAGAAAATGCTACCTTATGGACGCAGAACAGATTCCCACCTACCCCCTTATTAAAGATGTCATAATGGAACTTCTCACCTGACAATGGAAGGGGAACAGAAAAGCACACACACGGAGCTGCTACCATGTACAAGGCACTTGCTACATATGACCTCACGCCAGCCTCAGGTTCTAGTCATACTGATCCCATTCAAGCCACTGAGAAAGGATGGGTGTCTTACCCAAGGACTCAAAGTAGCTAATTGGCCAGGCATGATGCAATCACAGGTATATCTGTGAAGTCCATCCTCTTGCCTCTCAAACTAAACAACCAGAAGTATATCCATCTCCTCGTTTCCTGTTGGGCTGCAATGTTTTCAACAGGATACCAGAGTTCTGGCTTAAGCTTTAGGATTACTAATTCATTGACTAACCAAAGACCACAGAGAAAATCATTAAATTTTCTTCTACTATGCACAGAGTGGAGGCGACGGTGGTGATAAGAGGGCTCCTCTCTTCCTGAGAAATGTAGGTTAATAATAACCCTGTCTACCTCTAAAACAGGACTTCAGTTTAAATCTCTTCTCCTCTTAACAGCTGAGTCACTCTGGACAATTTTCTGAGCCTTTCACAGCCTATATTTTTCCCATGTAAAATGTAGGAATACCTACCTAACTCAAATGCGTGTTGAAAAGATTAAATGTGATGATGTATGTATAGATATCTAGCGCAACCCTGGCACAGAGAGCAGATGCTATAAAATAAGCACTGTTACTTTCTTTTGAAGACACAAACAAAAAGGTTAATTTCAATCTAAAAATTTTTTTCAATATATTCGGGGAAATTAAGTTCATTCAATTACCTAAACTTCCTGAACATAGAATATCCCCCACACAAATTGGGGGGGGGGGGATCTAGTTTTCCTAATATATAGGTACAAACTAAAGGAGCTGGGGCAGATGAAAGCATTTCTATTCTAGCCAAATAGCACAAATTTGCATCTTGAGTACCATTAAATAATGGCAGTGTCTTTTTATAAATATATATTTTTTGTCTCTACTGATATCTTTAGAAAACCCTTTTCTAGAAATTACAGTTTGAGTGTGTAATTTTAAACAATCAAAAGCAATTTTGCTAATGATCTATCTAACTCTCTTTGGTATGCACAAAAACAGTAATTCAGTGGTCAGAAAACAAACTTAATTCCCCATTCTGATGCTATAAAGCAGTGTGTACAGTTGATTTCTCAGACACAAAACACCCATCACAAACAAGAACACCAACAGCCATTACTGGAGCACTATTAGAAGCGTGACCTATTTCCTTCTCTACCAGAAATTCACATCTCCCTGCCATGGGGATTCCCCAACCTCAACCTCTCCTCCCAGGAGGATTTTAGCAGAAGTTCCAATCAAATATTGCCAAGAGAGTCTGGCTTTTAATAAGCTGGCATTTTTTAAGGTATTTGAGGAGAAGCTTAAGAGACAACATCTTGACTGAAGCAAAATGCATACATTCACTCAACAAAACCAGACCCTACTGCTTCAGGCCAGCATGGGCTGGAAGGTGGCTTGACCCAGGGAGAGGGCATGGCTTTCACTCAGGCAAAGTGAGGGTCTCAGCTCTGCCCCTTCACTGCGGGCAAACCATGGGCACTCGGGATCTGGCTTCCTCATCTCTGATTCATAAGGGTAACAGAATGCAGACACAGCCCACAGAACAGTACCCCTCAGACACAAAGTCTGCACAAACGAAAACGTAGCTTTTCATCCCTACCCCTAAAGTCTGGTTATTACAATTTTATAACAACCTGTAAAAGGAAATGTCAACAATAGATGAAAATTATATAAATTTAGGTGCATTCCACACAATGCAATTGTACACAGCCATTATGAAGAAAGATGTTCCTGATGCATAATATGAATAAGAAAGCTACAGACAGATGTACAAACAAGACTCTATTTTTATAAGGAAAACATGTAAGTGTCATGATAGACAGATAAATAAGATAGCGCCGGGATGGGGAAGAAAGAAGGGGAAATGAGAGTAATACTTTAGGGAAGGTTAGGATGGACACACACCTCTAACTAGAGGCCAGGATAAGAGCAGGCAGAAGCGGACACCAGGTTTATATAAATCCAGTTTAGACAAACCCAAGTGATTTTCTAAGTTTTCTTAGAAAACTTAATACAAACTAAGTTTTCTGTTTGTATAAAATACGTAATGTGTGGAAAAACTCACTTTGTCAGTCCCATGAGGGAAGGAGAGGGCAGAGGCCTGTGGCCCTGGCATCCCGCACAAGTTCTCAGGCTGATGCTCCGTGCTGAATGCGGCAGCTGGTGGTATCTCATCCCAAGCCTTTCTCAGGCCTTTGTGATTGAACTGGAGAGCATCACCCTCCATGGCCATGGTCTGCACTGAGGCATCTTTTAGCTCCACCTTGGATGGTTCATCTGCCTTTACTAGCTGGGCTCCCCCAGGCGACTTCAGTTCATCATGGGGCTTGTAAAATGAGTTGGCTTGGATGAACTGTCTGAGTTCACCTCTTAGCTGAACAGCCATCTGCTTAAGTGTCTTCTCAGTTTCACCATCGAGGTGTTCTCCGGAAACTTCCTGCTCTGGCAAGCATATTTGTTCCAAAAGCAGTTCACGTAGCACTTTCAGAAGGTCTGGCCTGTTTTGCCAAAAGAGAAAGAAGTGGGAGAACTAAGCTTCCCTCTATGGCCTTGTCCTCTACCTAGTTTCCCAAGTTTTCCTCACTGACTGGCCCAGGTTCTGCTTAAACTAAACACAGGGAGCACCTGCCATGTGCCAGGATTCACACCAAGTATTCTATCCCATGTCACCTCACAACCACACAAGGTAGGTACTACCATGTCTATTTTATAAATAAAAAGAGGAGAATTAATTTGACACACGTAACACAGCAAGTGAGGGGACTACATGGCTAAATGGATGCAGGTTGGGCCTAAGAAAGGAGCAAACGGTCATAAAGTATTCATGCCAATTGCAAGGTCCCCTTGCCTCCCTGGCCCTATTCCTACATCCAGGGGCAAGTATGGCTTTGGATGAATCTGGCTAACCTGGTGGATCATCAGTGACCTGGACAATCATGGTACATAACCGGTGCTCAGTAGCTAGGGAGTGAATAAAGGGATGCTGTAAAGTGCTCTTATTTGAAAGAGGAGTGTACTTGAACGTGCAGACAAATAAGAGCTCAGCATCCTAGCAGAAGATATGTTCAGAAAACTGGGAAGAGTACAGTGCTTCTTTGGAGTCAGAACAGCCTGAGTTCCAGTCCTTGCTCTGCACTTGACTAGGGGATCTTGAATCTTTATGAGCCTATTTCTTCATCTGTGAAATGGGGTTAATATTAGTCTCCATCTCATAGTCTTACTCTGAGGACTAAATGTATTTAGTGTATTTAAAGGATCTGACACCCATAAGTGCTTCATAAATGTCACTTCCTTTCCCCTTATACCTTCTGTGTGACAAAGGTGCTCAGGAAGGGGCATAAACAATGTTTGGGCCTCTGACAAGACCCTTGAACTGAACCACTAAAAAGGTCCAGATTATAGTGACAGCTTAATGAATCTGCTGTTCAGATTTCTAGCAAAGGAACACTTGAACTGTTTTATTTAACAGCACACCACTTTAGTATATTATAATGGCCTCTTTCACCACCTTTTACTACCCATTTGTAAAGTCTTTTTCCTGGGTTTTATTGTGTGTTGTTTGGTCGTGAGTAATGGTCCTCCTTTGGCTAGCGAATAGCAATTGTCATTATTTTTAATCTTTATTAAGGGAAGGATAGGAAAGGAAAATTTAGTTTAACATGCCTAAAATGCCAGAAATATTTCTCAAGCCTGGGTTTACTGAATTTTAAGATGGTTTGTGTAGTCCAGATGATTTCATATTAGAAGTGAGCAATATACCATACATTTTAATTTTGTTTGTTATACTTTTATTTTTTACTGTGTTTGTGTGCNGGTTTGTGTAGTCTAGATGATTTCATATTAGAAGTGAGCAATATACCATACATTTTAATTTTGTTTGTTATACTTTTATTTTTTACTGTGTTTGTGTGCCGTAGCTGTTTCATTTGAGTTGAACTGACCCTGTCCAGAGCTAGATGATCAGAATCCAGATACGAGTGAGACCTTGCCCCTGCCCTTACAGGGCTCAGTGGGGAAGATGAAACAAAGCTCCTGTCACTTCTAGTGGCAGCAGAGATACAGAGCCAGGGAAGCTCAAGGTGTGTTAAAGGTGTTGGTAGTTGTGATCTAACTGTCCCACAGGTTTTTGGAAATAAGGCTGGCAGGAGAAACTGCAGAGAAAAGAAAAAATATCTAATACCAGTGAGGGCCTATTCTGTCCCCTTCTCTCTACTGATGGCCCCTGCCTCATCCTGCCCGTGTCTTCTTTCTCCTGGAACATAGCAGCAGCTTTCCAGCCCCCCTCTGTCCTTGTCCCCCTCCACTTCCCCTTTTCTTAATTTACTGTCTCAATTTTATAACCCCCTCTTCTTTTTTATGAATTTCATTTTCTCTTATATTTTGAGATGATTTAAACATGCTAATTTAAAATTTTTCTTCAGACTGCTTTATTTTTTTTTTTTTCTTGACTGTGAACTCGCATTTGTTGGTCTATCTTTGATAATAGTGGATTTTGCTGGCAAGTTTAGTTTGCCTGTGTTAAGCCCTGCTCAGACCCCCACCCTTCCTCCTCCCTGCATGGTGGTTTTGCCTCAGCTTGGCTTTCTCGATCTTTCTGTAGGGCTTTTGAAATTTGCATGGTTCTACTACCATGGGAGTCTAATTTCTGGTCCCTCTGCTTTCTGCAAATGCCTGCTTCTCATGACTTTGGGTCTCTACCATTTCTGACCTTTGGATACATTTAATCTTGATTTTGAAGCCTGTAGTGCACCTCTAAACATTTTTGTTGTTCTGTATTTTTGCTGCCCTTTATATGTGTTTAGAATGGGGGGCAGGGACTCCTGTGTGTACTGACACCACCCTCCGGACAAGAAATCTCCCCATTTATTGTTTACACCACAGCCTGCCTGAGTCACCACCTTTCAGGCATGTGTGACTGTGCTACTCCCTTGCACAGAGCCTCGAAGTGGCTCCTTTCCTTAACATGATTGGGTTCTCCCCTCCCTCACTTTCCAGCCTCACCTCCCTGTTCTCCAGTGTGTCTTGACTATATTCATATTGTCTTCCATGCTTAGAATATTCCATTTTTCCCTTCCCTTGGCTAGCCTCTATCGACTCAAGAATCCTTTTCTGACATTTTTCCCACCACCCCTGGTCTGGACACCTGGGATTATTGTTCCGTAGCATTCCCAAACTTGCACAGTGCTGGGTTTCACTTTTTATCTTGTGGAGAAGTGACTTGTGAACACAACTGACTCCAGCAGCAGGTTAATCCTCACAGGTAGGTTTGCACCCCCAGTGCCCATTACAGTGCCTGGCACAAGGAATACCCTCGCAGGATTCTTTTTGAACTACCCATAGTCTTTTACATGCTGGCTTAGTCTGAGTTCTCGGGAAGGCAAAGCCTGACATAAGGACTTGGGTACAAGTGGTTTATTTGGGATGTTGATTCCAGGGAATAGGAAGAAGGGATCATGGGGAGGAAGATAGAAATGGAGGCAAAATCAGTATTGTTCTAGTTACTGCTGCGGGCTCAGTCCTCCTGGGTACCCTCTGAGGGATGGCACAGACTGCCTTAGTGTTGTCCTTCCAAAGGATGGGAGCCTGGGATATTCAATCAACAGCTCTATTCCCCCACTGCTTGAGGGTTTCCCCCAGGTACAAACTGGTCCATACCTCCCCAATGCCCTGCTGGCTGGGTCAGTGAGCTCTGGAAAAGGTCCCGGGGCAGCAGAGAGATGCACGGAGTGCCTTGAGGTAGGACTGTCTGTATACGAGTCCTTATTTGTCTACACATTCAATACTTATTGAGCACCTCCCATGTGTCACGTAAGGCAGTGGAAATGCACAGTAAAGAAGAATCATGGAGCTTACATTTCATTAAGAAACAGACAGACAGACATGCACTGATAACTAAATAAGACCATGTTGGTAATGATAAGTTCTATGAATTAAGGGAGGAAGGAGGGGAAAAAGGAAGGGAGGAAGTCCGAGGCAGTGTATAAGAGCTGGGTTTCTGTTGGAGAGAGTGGTCAGGAAAGGCCTCTATGCAGAGCTGGTATCCAGCTGAGACACCACCAGCCATGTATATGTCCAGGAAAAGAGCATTCCAGGTGGAAAGAATAACTATTGCCAAGGCCCTGAGATGAGAACAAACCTGGACATTTGAGGAACAGAAAGAAGGTGTTTGGCTAGAACACAGTGAACAAGAGGGGTAGGTGATAAAGACAGAGGAATAGGCAGAGGTCTATTACTGTAAGGGTAAACGGAAATCTACTGGAGGGTTTTAAGCACGGAAAAGACATGAACTGATCTAATTTTTAAGATCACTATGGCTGCTCCGCAGAGAATGGACAGTAGAGGTTGTGCTGTGGGAGTACGGGCAAGACTTGGACTAAGAAGGTAACAGAAGAGATGTGAAGTGGTTGAATTAGGGATACACACTGAAGGTGGGGTCGATAGGACATGCTCATGGATATAGGGATTGTGGAAACTGGACTTTTAGCTACACCAATTAGACAGATCGCAGTGCTGTTAACTGACATGAGAAAGATAAGAAGAAGGAATTTGGTTTTACAGATTAATGTTGAAGTGCCTATTAGACATCCAGATGGCGATGTCGAGTAGACTGCTGACTGGATGATCTGGAGAAGGTCCAGCGGTGGGTATACATGTGGGAGTCCCAAAGCATACTCTAAAGCCATCGGAGAGGGAAGACCAAGAGAAACGGGGTACGGACACAGCTCTGGGACACTCCAACATTCAACAGCCAGCAAAGGAGACTGAGAAGGAGAGGCCAGTGAAGCAGAAGAAAACAGGACGGGAGGGTCATGAACAGAAGGTCACAGGGAGTGACCAGCTGCTGCTGAAAGGCTGACAGTAGCCATAGAACTTCCCAACTTGGAGATTATCGCTGACCTTGGTAAGTGGAGTAAAGGGTATGAAAGCCCTAGGAATGAGATAAAGAGAGAATGGAAGGAAAGAAAGTAGATACAGTGAATATGAGCAGTTCTTCCAAGAAATCTTGCCTTTAATTAAGGGGAATAAAGAAATGGGACAGGAGCTGGAGTGGAATTGGGGAGGGGAGGGTGCAGAGGGAACGTCTCCCAAATACTCGATATCAATGCATGTCTTATGCTAATGGAAATGGTTCAGTGACAAGAAAATACTAATGATGCAGAAAGGGCGCCCTGAGAAGGTAGGAACTAAATCCCAGGGAGAGGGCTGGTCTTGGACAAGAGGAGGGATTTCTGCCATTCCAACAGCATGAAAGTCAGGGTTTGTGGGTACAGAGGCAAAGAAGCTGGCAGCAGTGGTGGAAAAAGAGAAATAGATTGAGTTCAACTGTTTGTTTCTTCAGTCAAGTATAAGGCAAGATCATCAGTCAGGGAGGGTAGAAGAGAAACTGCAAAATAGTCTTGTGCTGGGCAATGTTGAGTGCTCATTTTGAAATTGGTGATGATAATCTGATCTGTCATATGATCGCATGTAACATGCGTAGCTGGCCAAGTCAAGGTTTTAGGAAAAGGTTAGATGCAACAGATTAGCACGGATTTATCTATGCCCTGGGGAGGGAGTGCTCATTCTCTGCAGATGCAAAGGCTCCAAAATCGGCAGTCAGCTCACTCCGGGAAGTGAAAGAAGGCAGTGTGGCCGCAGCTCAGGAAGCAGGAGTAAACAGTGCAAACAGCTGCAAGACAGGGCTGCCGGACGACGCAGGGCCTCGCAGGTCATGTTAATGATTTCGGTCCCAACAGAAGTAGAGCATCTCTGAAGGGTTTTAAGTAGAGAAGGGAAGTGACTGCTCTGGAAGTAGCATAGGAAAGAGACTGGAAGAGGACAAGGGAGCCTGCAAGGGGCTATGAGGAGACTACTGCAGCGTGGCCCAAGCAATCTGACAGGAACTAAGGATGGATAGGAAGCAACAGGGATGGTGAGAAGTATGTGAATTAAGCACTATTTAGGACGCAGATGGTCAGGACTTAGGTTTGGGAGGTGAAGGAAAGGGGAGATCAGGAAGGACCCTGGGTGTCTGGGGTCCTGTCTAGAACCCCCCAGATCTAGTCCTTCTATAGCATGGACTGTACCTTCAGGCACTTGTCAAGTCCACTCCCCCCAGACTACACACGTCAAGTCTCTTCAACTGTTTATGTGCTAACCTCTAACTTAGGAACTCCTGCCAGCACCTCTCTCTGGTGGCACCTGCCCTGCCCCACAACCATGCCCAGAAGAGCGGACTCAGATTTCCTAGGAGTAGCTGCCCTGCTATTACCTAGAGCTCAAGACTGTATCAGCTTTAAAAAAAATCATTCCCAAAGGCTCCCCCTTTAGATTTTCAGATATCAAATTTTACGCCTAATTTTTGGCTACAAAGACCAAAACATTGAGGTGATAAAATCCTAAACCATGTCCTCTAGGGAATGGGGCCAAATTGAATTGGAAGCACACAGCGAGAGGGCTGCAATCGTACACAGTGAACACCGCAGGAGAGGAAGGCCAGCCAGGTTGGGGCCTGCCCTGATTTTTCACTCCAGCTCCAAGGAATGAACTGTTCTGGTTGGTCAAGTGCAAGACAACTAATCAGGCTATGGTAACTACTGGACAAGCTGCTTCCGTATTCCATCCTAGCAGATAGGTAAGTTGAATTCCAGTTTTCTGGGGGCCCAGCTCCTCTGCTAGCCCCTTAGGCCCTAGGATGGATGGCTGGAAGGTGGAGGAGCTCAAAAGCTGAAGGGAAGTCTCAGTTCTGCATCTGTGAGAGCTCTGCACTGGGGTTATCAGATGGTTCAGCAATTACCTCAGAGACAGGAATCAGTGCTGGCCACTATCTCGCATATGGTATGGATCTTACCCGAGGGTAGTGGGAAAGGGTAGGAATAATTGATAGGGCACAATATAAGCAGTAATATCACCAAAACCCCACTTAATGCCAACCTGGAGCTATACTTCATACCCATTATTTCACTTAATCTCGAAAGCTGTCTATGGGGTAGATAAGCATCATCAACCCCCACTCTACAGATGAGGAAACCAAGATGGGAAGTTAGTTCACAGGTCTAAATGACATGGCTGGACTGGAGCACAGGTTTATGTGCTAACCTCTAACTTCTGCTTTTTCTAGTGCACCAAACCAGCAACCTCCTGGAGGGAATTCCCAGGCAGGAGACTGGTATTTCTTGGACCAATTTAAGAATCCTGGTTAGCCCTGGGAGTCTTTTTAAAAGACTCCTTCAGAAAAGTCTCCAATGGCTCTACCATTTACTAGCTAAGGAAATGTCAAGTCCCCAAATGTCTGCTCCCACAATGTAAAAAGGAGACCAGCAGCATGCAAAGCCGGTGTGAGGGTAAAATGAGAGCAGGCACAGAGTGTGTGTGCCAGAAGCAGGTGCAGACCCGTCAGGACTTCAGGAGGACCCTTAGAGCCCTGACTCCCCTGTCATGGAACTCACTGATGCACTCTGAATGACAGCTATAATGAGACTAGGGCAGCAGGTCTGCTAGTGTAAGAAAGCCTTTTCCAATACAGAACTGGCCAGCAATGCCCTGGAGACCTCTGGAACCCACAGGGAACAGGGAACTGAATCGCAGGAGTCACAAGCTTGCCTGCAGGGTGTTGGAACATAAAGGGTTTTCTTTAAAAATGTAACCAGGTCTCAATTTTTAAAAATCAAGAGATTTAGACTATAATTTGGGGGCTTCTACAGGAAGGCTGGAAGCTCTGAGCCCATGTGTGATTACAGGACAACAATCAGCTGGGGCTGAAAAGCTCATGTCCACTAAAAGGAAGCACTCAAACCCCAATTCCTCCCACTCCTACCACATCCACTGGACTTTCCCAACTCACATCACCCAAGTACATTCTAGGTGGTCCTCAGAGAGAGACAGAACGAAACCAAGAGAGAAAGAGATACATCTTTTAACTCTGATGTAACATTTGGGACTCTGATGTTGAAGAAATCCCCCACTTCTCAAGCACTGACTATGTTCACCTAACTCCCTGTGATAATAAACCAGAGTAGCCACTGGGCACGTCCCCGAAGAGGACTCATGCTAGAAAAATGTTAGACAGGTGTCAGGGCTCGGGAAGGGTTAGCCTGTCTGAGCTCACAAAAACAGAACACTTCAATCTTTTCTTTTTAGCTAAAGAAACGTCTATGAGGATTAGTCCACCAATGATAAAGAAACAGTAGGCTTCTTGACTCTTGCCAAGAGTCATAGGCGGTAGTCACCTGCTCCATTTCTCCATCTACGCTGGAGGAGAAAAAAAAACTTTTCCTGAACACACCCCACATGCCAGCTATCTTCCATAAACAGTACTTTTACTCCTCGCAGCAACCCTGAGGAGTGGTCAGAGGAGCCGAAGCACTGAGAGATGAAGGCACAGTTCTTTCTGGCTCCAAAGCCCAAGCAGCTGTTGATAAACCAGAAAGAATGTGAAAGGGGGAAAACCGGCTCCTAAAAGATTAATTTTAAAAACACAAATTTACCAAATGTTTCTCAGTTTTTGTCTTAAGGAAAACACCCTGTAGTATTTCCTCAAGTAGGAATGACTCCCAGCAGATAGAATGAGAAGAGAATTTTAGTACAAGCGCTTAAAAACATAAAACTGCAGAGTCATAACTACAATGGTAGTTTTGAAGCTGTTGTAGAATTGAAAGAGATTTCATTGGGGCTGATTTCTCTCGCTGACATCCAGATAGCCCTGTCTGGGGCTCACAGGAATAATACTAAAGGAAAGCTTGCTTTCTCCTCTTTATAATGGGCTTGCATGAGGCGTTGCTGAAGTCCCCTCACAGCCACTAGCAAGCAGCCTAATTACTTAATTGCAGGACTGGCAAGGTTCCTTCCCAGTCATTTCAGGAGCTCTCTCAGGTAAATTACACAGCCCCATCATCTACATCCATTTAGCAAAATGAGTTTGTTCTCCCCTCAAACTACAGAGACAAAGCAATGCTTGGGCCCCACGTCCACCTGGATTCCAGTAACAGCATGGCCTTCTCATTGAAGAAAGGGGAAAGCAGGTTCATGAGCTCGCCTTCTTCTAGACTCTGGTCTCCAGGGCAGCCAGGTTTGTGGGCTCCATCGTAGTCTGAAATACTGGAATCTGTGTGCCTTAAATATCCATTTTTGCAGCCCCCTTTGGGATAATCCTCAGAAATCTGCAAATCAAAGTATTTGATCAAATAATGGAATCTAGAGGAAGGGAAGGGGGATGTGGAGGAGAGAGAAAGGATGAAGACAAGAGAGTGAGTGAATGAAAACCAGAGGAAAAATGAAAGAAAGAGAGAAAAGAGAGGGACCCAGGCACACAGGGCCATACACAGTCTCTTTATGGCAAGAGCACAAAGATGTTTACACCAGTTTCCTCCTCTATAAAATGGGGAAAGTAATGCCACCTCCCAAGGTGACTATGAAAACAAAATGAGGTGGCTGACTCACCTCAGCTTGTGGCTCAGGGTCTTATCCACTATGGTGCATTCCCCAACCCCACGGCCCACTCTTTGGAAGTTCTTCCTAAGAAGGGCACAGAATCCATGCCATTAACAGCACTTTGGACATTTATATATACTTCTGCAATGTAGCTTCCCCATTATATCATGGAAAGCCCACATGTTCTTTACAGATGCACCCTAATTAATGTAACTTTGAGTTGTCTCATTAGCAAGGCTGAGAGTTCCTAATTCCCATGGAGATGTTATTTACGGATCTACCTTCTGGGGTCACTGAAGGTCCCAGAGGAGGGGTGTCAAGGATGCATCTAGTTAAAGCCTGTGCTGGGCATGTCTTGAGGTGCTGCAATTAGCATTCTTTCCCCTCCTTTCCAAAGCTGTAAATTTCTTCTTACCAATCTATAAATAACTCCCCTTGACTTCATTACTGCTGGTGATATATACACTAGCCATCACACCCCTCTCTCCACACTTGTAAAATGATTAAGATTTTAAATGGAAGACAAGACCTACACACAAATGAGCTGTTATTTATAGGGTCTTGTTTGCCACCAATCTAGATACTAAATCCATCTAAATAAGCAACCTCCCAAGAAGGAGAGTCTAGAATATAAAAATAAATAGTAATTGTTATCATTTACTGAACACTTAATAACATACATTTCTATTTAAATATCACAACAATTCTAACAAGAAGTATTATTATCTTCATTGATGGGAAAACTCAGGCTTAGAGGTTAAGCAAGGGTTAACCAAGGTCAAAGAGATACTGACCAAGACTCAAAATCAGATCTCATTCCAAAGCCCCTCCTTTTAACAGCTTTGCTCTCTATAACTATTTACATTTTAATGATCATGATTCCATGAACTTGAACACCTTGAAGGCCACAAATGTCAAGTCTGCAGCCTCCTATCTCCCACCACATCCTAGTCTTTAGGATCCTTTTCAAACTTGGGGAGTGTTTGCTCCAAGTGTTCAGTGTCAATGTGACTGGAGGACATTCTATGTGGATAGAGTCAAATTCTCATCAGTGCCCAGATGACACTAAGCTGGGTTCCGGATAAAGAGACGCAGAGGGCCCCTGAGAAGGGGAGTTTGGTTCTATCAGTGCTCCTCACGCTGCAATCGAATGATCTGGGAGTTTACAGCAGTCCAGAGGGAAGGGCCCTTGTCCCAACCATGTCAGTGACGTACTCTGTGCCCTAGATAGACCATCTCCTCATAGGCCTCAGTCTCCAATGCAAACAAGGCATGGGTCAGGTTAGATCTCAACAGCTGTCCAGGTGCAGCCTCCAATGCCCCTTATTCTTCTTTCAAAGCCCGACTTTTGTTTGCAAGTATTATGTTTGTTGCTGTTTCATGACTGGCTCTCCCACCCAGTCAGTAACTTCCGAGAAGGAAGAGAACTAGTCTCTTGGCCCCCACAGGCACACAGCAGGCACTCAATACAGGCGGAATGAACAAAAACTCCCACTGGGCACATCCCAGACTAGCAGCCTGGCCTGGGCACAGAGAGGAGCGGGTGGAATAGGAGTTACGGCCATGTTCCTACCTTGCTAGTCTGCTCCAAGTGCTGGTCACTCAGGATATTATCCTCATCATCCTCTCCGATTTTGATGGTGTCGTCATCCTCCTTGCTAACGGGAAGCTACATGGCGCATGGAATGGTGGGAAAACGCAACCCAAAACAGGATGCAGCATGAATATGTATGAATAAGTCAGTGATGACTTTTTTTTAAAAATGCAAAACAAAAACAAACCAAAAAAGAGGCAGAAACAAATGCCAAAGCCATGAAATAAAAATTAACTAAAGTTAGAGCCGCTAGTTCTAGAAATCACACATAGCTGCCTGGGATCAGGCATAATTTAAGGACAAACTCCCCAAGAAATAACTCAAGCTATTTCCCCTGCCCTTGCACGGCCTTCCCTGAGCTGCTGTAAATTGAATATGCTGTCTGTTGTGCTGCTGACATTCCTGCCGTTGCTAAATTCACTTTCAGATTATATAAAAGTAACAAGATTTTGGAAAATAGCTATTGATGGCATTGAAAATATCAAACAGCAAGAAAGCAGTAAATGAAATTTATGGTGTACCTGATTTATGCATCACTCCTCCTATTTAGCACAGGGCATCAACCTCTCTTTGGACTGTCACACATCTGAGATGGACAATCCCAGCAACACTGTCATTTTGCTGACAAAAAGTCCTCATTGCTAATAAAGAATATCAGGCTTGCCTGATAACTTCATGCTTTTGAAAAAGAAGGGCAGTTATTTATAAAAAGTGCATAAATCCCTAATGCTTTAAAGAAATGTAAATCCCAAAGGTTCTGCATTCTGCAGAACGGACAGTACAAAGTTCTCAAGAGGGCCAGACCTCAGCTGTCTGGAAGAGTGAAAATTCTATTCATGCAGCACCTGGATTAACCAAATGAAAAATGAGAGGAAAGGTGGCCACACCCAGGGAGGGATCAGTCAAAGCTGTTTCAAAAATTATACAAATCCCATTTCACCAAAGTGTTAAAACCACAAACTAAGTGCAGAGCCAGCTGCTGGGTATGCTGTACATGTGAGATGTCCAGGGTTCTATCGTCATAGTTTTATTCTATGAATTCCTACATTTAGTCAACTACCCCCATAATTCTCCCAGCCCAACTTATACTTTTCTAATCTTCCTTTTAGAGGAAACTCTTGTTGTGGAAGAAGAAAAACAACACACAGCAAAGTGACATCAGAAAAGTCATTTTATAGAAAACTCCCCAGGATCAGAACATACCCAACCTAACCACACCCAAATCTGCAGTGAGGATCAAACAGAACTGATGACCACAAGTTAGATCTTACTATACTAACTATCAAGCGATAACAGACTAAACTAAACATGCCCAAGTATACTTATTAGGGCATAAAAGTTTCTAAATATAGGTGAGGAACTCTTTCCTGCTACTGGCTTCCTCCCTCATTATTAAAACTTTCTCAGTGATATAGATCAGGACTATTGAACTTGTTAGTGAGAGTATAAAATGTTAAGCCACTATGGAAAAATACTGGCAGTTTCTTATAAAACTAATAACGTTATGATCCAGGAATCCCACTCCTAGGAAGTTATCAAGAGAGGTGGAAACATGTCCACATAAATATATGTTTATGAATAGTCATATCAGCTTGTATCAGAATATCCAAAAACCAGGAACAATCCAAATGTCCATCAATAGCAGAATAAATAAACAAACTGTAACATATTCAAACACTGGAATACTACTGAGCAATAGAGAGGAATGAACTATTGCTTCATGTAACAACACAGATGAATCTCAAACGCATGCTAAATGAAAAAGCGTTACACAAAAGAAAATATCCCTTATGATTTCATTTTTGTAAAGATCCAGTACAGGCAAAATCAATCCATGGAGAATAAAATAGAAAAATGGCCGGGGGTAGGGGAGGCATTGACTAGAAGGGCCATGATCTTGCTGTGGATTTGGGTTACACAGGTACACACATTTGTAAAACCTAGCAAATGCAGACTTACGGTTTCTTCATTTCATTGCACATAAATCTAACCTTAAAAGAAAAAATAACTATAAAACATACTAAAGTTAAAGAAAAGCATGTTGAAGTATTTAGGGGGAGGTGTACTGATGTTTGTACATTAAAATTTATGAAACAAGATAAGCTGGAGTGATGATGGACAGGTAGGAAATGTTAATAGTACAATCTAGGTGGTGAGACTACTCTGATTATAGTCTGCTCAAATCACTCCCGTATGTCAATTTCTTTTTTTAATGTTTTTATTGATTTTAGAGAGGAAGGCAGAGGGAAAGAGAGAGAAACACTGATGTGAGAGAAAAACATCAATTGGCTGCCTCCCATACTCGCCCTGACGGGGGATCAAACATGCAACCTAGGCATGTGCCTGGACCAGGAATCAAACCTGCAACCTTTTAGGTTTACAGGACGATGCTCACCTAACTCAACCACCTAGCTGGGCCCCTATGTCAATTCTTAACCACATTTTTCTATAACACATAAATTAATAATCAATAAATAAATATAAGGAAAGAGAAGTAACCTCATGAGAGATTTTAAATGCACTCCATTTTTATTTATTTGCTTTTTTAAAAAAATGTTTTCATTGATTTTTAGAGAGAGAGGAAGGGAGAAGGATAGAGAGGTAGAAACATTGATGAGAGAGAAACATCATCACTTGGCCGCCTCCTGCAAGCCCCTGACTGGGGATCGAGCCCACAACCTGGCCATGTGCCCTGACTGGGAATCAAACCATGACCGCTTGGTTTCTGGGTAGACACTCATCCACTGAGCCACACCTAGCCGGGCTTAAATGCACTTTAAAACAAGAATACCTGTGCTTGGTTTTTGTTTGTTTGCGTGGCTTGAAGTAAACTGCCCACATGCAGGGAAGCAGCAGTTTTGCAGCAGCTGGAGGGAATCCATGTCACAGCAACCATTTTGAAGATAAACCCGATAAACTGTTACCAAGGGCTTCCTACTATTTAGACCTTTTGTCAATTAAAAGCTGTAGTAGGAGGGTATATAAATTGTATGTCTATTTTATACCTATGTCTATGTGTACTTTTGACCTAGTAACTACATATTTGGAAATACAGTCTAAGGAAAAAAATGCTACACCCAGAAAAAGATTTGAGTCCCAAGACACTCAGTAGGTAAATTTGAAATAGTGAATCACTGGAAACAATCTCCAAGTTCAGCAATAGTGAGGCAGTTAGTTAAATTTCAGTACATTCATAAGATGGCATAAGATGTTCTAATATAACAGCAATTAGAAAAAAACAAGAAATAGCCCTGGCCAGGTGGCTCAGTTGGTGAAAGCACTGTCCTGTACACCAAAAGGTTGCTGGTTCAATTCCTGGTCAGGGCAAATACCCAGATTACAGGTTCAATCCCTGGTCTGGATACATATGGGAGGCAACTGATTGATGACTCTCTCTCTCTCCCCCCCCTTCTCCTCTCTCTAAAAATCAGTAAGCATATCCTCAGGTGAGGATAAAAACAAAACAAAACACAAGAAACACAACTGTGTGTGTGTGTGTGTGTGTGTGTGTGTGTGTGTGTGTATATATATATATATATTGTGGACATGTACACATTCATATACATAAATAGAGAAGGATTCGAAAATGTTAGTTAACTGTGTGTTAAAGTGACAAGATAATGGGTAATTTCTTTTCTTTATTCTCCAAGTATTAGGCAATGGTGTGGGTTAATTAAATATTGGAGAAAAAATATTAAATTTTAACAACAGAAAATATATTTGCTTTCATTTTTTTCCTTGTCTGACTGCCAGGCTCCCAGAGAGCAAGAACGGAGCCCAGCCCCCACTCTGCAAGCCCTGCTGCTCCAAGAGGCCGTGGACAGCAAGCTCGGCCAGAGTGTCCCTGCCTCCTTTCTCACAAGGGAAAGCCACGCACCCCCAGGATGCAGCCACCCCTCCTTGCCATCCCGCCCTCGCCCCTAACAACTTCTCCTCCCTCCGCTCAAGGTTGTTGTGGGAACACCACCCTTCCCAGGCGGATCGTCCTGTTCCCTTCCGAGGAAAGATGGGAACTGTGCTACAAAGGACAAGGCTATTCATAGGGAACATCGAATTGAAGTGCAATCTGACAAATGACTCAAATCTGAATCGGCTGATATTAAGACCTGAGTGGGAAGAGGAAAAAGCCTCTGTTCTCCAAAGGACACAATGGGACATTTAACAGATTTTTTCAAAGGGCAAATGAACAAACAAACTTGCCATTTACGACTCAAATGAAGTAGGTGAAGAATGAGCTGCTTATTAAAAATGCTGCCTTGGAGAAAAAAAGCCAAGAGACTTGTTTCTCCCTAAATGGATTGCAGATATTCTTGGTTTTCAAAATGCTCTGGAGCCCTGGAGGCTCAGATCAATAACATTCCCTCTCAAAGACAGCAGATGGCCAGAGCACAGCTTAAATACCTCTGAGCACTTCCCACTTGGAAGGTGGGAGGAGACAGCTTAAAGCTGACAAGACGTTCCCCAGAAATGATGTGGCAATGAGACCTCCATTTACCTGGCATGCCAGGCTGGGGTCAAGGCAACTCTAACCAACAAGATTCCAGGGACCCAAGTACAAACAGGCCCGCCTGCACTTCATGGTGAGGACAGTTCCAGTCTTCTGAAAAAGCCTAACAGATGCGGGAACAAGGCTCTTCAAGTGGGAGAGTTAGGCTAAAGGGAGGAAATGACAAACTCTTTCACTGTCACAACCTCAGGGTCCTCCCATTGTACAGCCGGGGCCAAGAACAGAGAAAATCGGAGACAACGCATCACAAAGATGAGCAGAGACCAGAACTCACCAGGGTGAATAAGCTTCCCTGGTCCTTCCCTGAGGTGAAACTAATAGAATGGTTCTCTCACCCTCAGTACACAAGCACAGTGAACTACACACTATCTAGTGGCCACTGCAGAGAGAGGCCCCGTAGTTTAACCTCGCAGGGCCCTGTCAAACTTTCCAATGCCACTCGTAGAAAATTCCCGTAGTCATGAACCTGGAATTGTGGGCTGATGGGACACTGACTCTATTCCTGTGGCGTCTTCTGTACATGGCAGAGAGCAGGAGCTCCCCGGTATGTGTGGGAAGGAACGACACACACCCAGTCAAATCCAGAAGTCCAAATCCCGTGAGAGTGAGAAGATGCACCAAATTCAGAGGATTAATACAAAAAGTAAATGAAAATTGTGTTTACTCATTTGTTTTTCAAGTTAATGAATTCATTAATGCTGCATCTATACTACCCAAATTATCTGGGTGATTTGGCAACTCTCCAGATCCCTCTGAGACCATACCAACTTTCCAGCTATGCTGTCTGCAGCACAGATCCCAGGGCCAGGCTTGGAGCCAAAAGTATCACAACATATCAAATGTGTTCATGTAGACATGACCCAAACTTGAGAAAGCCTGTGGACAGACCTGCTGACCCAGGAGGACCCTCAAACCCCAACCAGAGACTCTCAGGACAGATGCAGTATTAAGAAATTGGGGGGGGGGTATTTTTTTGTAATTAGTGCATGACAAAAAGTATGTTTTTTCTTACCTCTGCTTGTTCTGTTGACTCCAGTCTGTCATCCCCCTGGAAACCCATGCAGGAGAGATCAAAGATGGTTTTCTTCAGGTGCTGGTTGTCTGTATACAGTTCCTTCACTAGCTGTATGAGGTCACTGACCTAGGAGATAAGAGCAGAGAGAGGACTAGATACCCATAAGCAGACTTCAGCTTCCTAGGGCCACACCCCTGGGCACAGACCTTCCAACTGAGCAGACCTTTCAGCACCAGAGCTGTGGGGAATCAGGCAGCCCGATTCCAGTCTTCAGGCGAACCTGGGCACAGTGAAAAAACACAAGCATGCCTGTACTCTAATCCCAGAGCCAGCACTTCAAGGCAGAGAGCCTGGGCAAGCTGCCTAAGTTAAGCCTCCATTTCCTCATTTGTGGAATGGGTTACTGTGAGAACTGAACATGATCATGGTCACAGTGAACTAAAGTCCTTGGTATAGTCTAATGACAGGTAATACCACTTCTGCCTTGTACTTGAGAACCTCAGGAGGAAAATGCCCGAGACTAAAGTTCCTGAGACTGTCAGAGCCTTATTTTGCAGCATCGCCTTCTTTGTACACTTATCTAGCAATGTCAGTAATAATAATAGTCTTCAATTACAAAGCAATTTACAGCTACTAAAATACTCCCACAAGCTTTAGTCGATCATTCTTTTAAAAAATCTTGAGGAGGTGGATAGGCTAGTGTGACTATCCCATTTTACAATGAAGAGCCTGGGATACAAAGAATTTCATTGCCCAAGATCCCACAGCTG